TCTCCGTCTGCATACTTTTCAAGTTCTTTGCCTTGTACAGTTCTTAGAAAGACAAATAAGAACTATAAAGCATTTTACATACTAATATTGTTGTATAAATTAAGGATGATCAGGGCTTCAATCCTCAATGTAGTGGGTTTAATCAATAAACTAAACTTGTCAATAATTGACAAGGTGAAGAACTAAGTGAACACTTACTTATTTTAGCAGATATTTTAAACATTATTCCAAACAGAGAAGGAAGCAGGGAAAGGAGACCATAAGGGCTAATGGAGAAGGAGAGAGTCAGTTTGGTGTAGTGGTTAAGAGCAGCAGACTCTAATCTGGAGAACCGGGTTTGATTCCCCAGTCCTCCACATGCAACCAGCTGGGTGACTTTGGTTCAGTCACAATTCTCTCAGGGCTGTTCTCCCAAGAGCAGTTCTCTCAGAGCTCTCTCAGGCCCACCTACCTTTCAGGGAATCTGTTGTGGGGAGAGGAAGGGAAGGAGATTATAAAACACTCTGAGACTCCGAGTGAAGGGCAGGGTATAAATCCAACTCTTCTTCTTCTAATGGAATGCGAGAAAGAAAAGCAGAGACAGTGAGGGGAGGAGGATGCAGGAGAAGGGAGATTCTCCCCATTTGTGAGAATATAAAATTATAAAACTGATATGGTACCAGATACAGTACAAAATAATCAGTGAAAAGACAGGAAGCAGCCAGTAGGAATAGACAATGTTCATGATGGAGGGACATATACTGTGTGTCTTGCAAACATCTTCATAGGGACCACTGTTTTAAATAGTATTTTGTGTTGTTCATTAGTAATGTCTGAGATAGCGATGAATCATTATGTGTGCATGCGTGTGTTTGTAGATTACATCAAAAACTAAAATCTCTATCAAAAACTGGGCTGATTCACAAATACATACTGCATGATGCAGTATTATCTCGTCTGGACCAGCCATCGACTGTATAATCGAGGCATCCAGATTAGGATTGTTAGATAAAAAGTATGGGGTGAGTGTGTTGGTGCTGGAAATATATTCTGGGTCTGAGCCCTGGGAATCCCGGCACCATTTGCGTATGACTGGAACGTGACTTCTACCATTGCTCATTCATGCGTTCTCCGCAATCACCTGCCCTGCCCTCCTAAACGTCAACCAGATTCCTACTCCACATGTATCATCGATTTCCCCCATCTTGTCCGTAAACCGGATTTAAACCGCAGCGAGAGGCTGAGCCCCAACTTTCCTGACTGCGCGTGCTCTTACCAGCCTGCTTCCTCAGGGGGTTGGCGCTATGAATGAGAGAAGAGGGGCGTGGCAGAACGGGGACTGGTGGGCGGGGCTTCGGCTGGCATGCGACAGTCAGGCGGGCGGTCACAACGTTGAGGAAACGCAGCAGGGCCATGAGGGCGGCGAAGCGGCGCCTCGTCGGGCCGTAACTCTTTGGCGCTGTTACCATCACGGCCGCCGCCGCCCTGCCCGCACCATTTCACTTCCCTCCCGGCCATGGATGCCGCGGCGGTTGGGCGGCGGTGGCGGCTTGCGCCGCGGAGGGGCCGTCGTTGAGGTCCGTCCGGCGCTGTGACGGTTGGTGACTAACGGCCGCTGCTCCTTCGCTCGCGCGCAGCATGCCATGGGGAACAGCTGGGCGGCGCAGTGGTGCTGCTGGCTTTTCCCGAGGCGGGAAACGGGACGGATCCAACGAGGAGGAGGAGGAGGAGGAGGGTAAGCGCGGGTTGGGGGCGGGGAAGGCGACGGGCCTGGGCTCCGCCTTTCGGAAGTGAGTGGTGGGTGGGATGGGCTGTCAGGTGGCTTCCCGGTCCCATCCCACCGATGCCGCGGCCCTTGCGGGTCAAGTCACCGCCCCGCGGGGCCCTGGCCGCGGCCCTCAGCCGCTGTCGGAGTGTGGTGGGGGAGGGAGGGTTTCTCTCCCCCCCCCTTTCTTTCGTGCCACGAGGGGTAGGGAGCTCCGGTTGCCCAACGGCCTTAGACTCTTGGGAAGTCAGAGCAGCAGCACAATTAAATTGATGAGTAGCGCTTTTCGGGAGGGAAGAAGGCGCGCGATTGACCTCTGGAACTCGCAGCCACAAGATACGTTGGTGGACTTGGGTTTAGCGCCGTGATCTTTGATCCGTGAGGTTCTGGGGTCAGGTTTTTACCTCTGCCACGGGCTCGTTTGGCAGCCTGTCCTCAGAGGCCTGTTAGGATGAGATGGAGGAGAACCGTGAACATCACTCTCAACTCCTTGGAGGAGGGGGAGGGAGTAAAAATATTAAAGATAAACACATCACAGTGCCAACCTGCCTTACAAGGACTATATCAAGATATATGTGAAGTGCTTTGTAGAGACACACCTGCTATACAAATGTTTGTAATTTTTTGTGGAGAGAGAGGCCTCTTTGCAGCCACTAGCAGTTATAGCTAATGCCCCTGAGCCTTAATAACTGGGGGTTGGGGGGAGGCTGTTGTTTTATGGGATTTTCCAGAAGCATATTGCTGGAAACAGGATGCAGTAGATGGGCCCTTGGTCGGATCCAGGAAGACTTGTATGGGAGGATTCTATGGTCTTGCATTAGAGGAACTAGGAAATTGATCTGCTAATTTATGGTCCTCCCGTGCTTGCTGGTGTGCCAGGAATTTTTCATGCCCTACAAATCTGAATTGTGATTTTTCCATTACAACATATGAAAGCCAGTGTTGTAATGGGTTGGATCCAGCTGTGTTTTTCACTTAATATTATCCCATCCCACATGCCCTTCTTGCATTTGGGTCCCCAGCGTAGCCTTTGTTGATGATCAAAGGAGAGTCTTCCTTTTTTCATCTGCAAAAAAAAAAAAAGCTGGTTGGATTCAACACAATAAGTCTCTCATCTCTGTTTGCGTAAGGAGGGAAAAAATTAGAGAGCTGTTGAGTCAGAGTGGTGATGAATTTAGTTTGTGGTAGAGGGACAGTAAATTAAGATTAATTGAGTTTTGAAGCTTGTGATAATACCTGATTAAACAGTTGTTAATTTCTCCTTCATTGAAAGGAGTTGATACAGATACTTGGTTTATACTTTTGATAGATTGCCTTCAGGAAGTGCCTCCCTTGCCCATCTCTTCTTAAGGCAGCCATATATTTCTTTTGCTTTTTAGTAACTCATGTGTTCCAATTAATGCCAGGAACATAACCAAATAAATGTTGGCTTTTAATGTTTTCATAGCCATACTCTTCTCTCTGTTGCTTTGGGTGTGTCTTAAAATTGTTTTTTCATGCGAAACACAGGGTAGCCTAATTAAGTTTCTGAAACAGCTCTCTTATTCCACTTTAAGACTATTGGAGGCTGGGACTCTCTCCACACCTCTTGTTTTTGTTTTTTGCTTAACATCCTGCCTTATTTCTTCATTAGTTTTTAGCTGATTGTAATGAAGGTATTTTGCTGTCACCTCCTTAACTGTTTCACCTTTAAATTGTTCTAAGATGAAAAAGCTAGCCTGAACTGATGGGATTTTGGCAAAGAAAGAACAAGACATGCCATCAAGTTGCAACCAACTCATGGCGAGTCCACCCATGGGGTATTCTAGGCAAGATATGAGCAGAGGTGGTTTGCCATTGCTTTCCTTTGCATAGCAACCCCAGTCTTCTTTGGTGGTCTCCCATCCAAGTACTGACCATGGCCAACCTTGTCTAGCTCCCAAACTCTAAGGCCAGGCTAAGCTGGGCTATTCAGAAATACTTGGAAAGTTTTGGTTTTATGATTTAGCAGTGTTTGTGCCTGTGAAAGTAATAACTGGGGTTGGAGGGGGGAAATGAGTATTAACTAAACAAACATTTGTTTCATGCAGGATGTTGAATTAAAGATCTGTTCTGTAGCCTTTCCAGTTTGAAACTCCATTCCTTATTTTTGCCATTAATGGTCTATGATAGTCACTGTGACATTTACACAAGGAGCAACAATACAATTACACATTACTTTTCTAAGGGCACAGAAACAAATCACTTACAGAATCTGAATGATACAATCAGCCTTGAAAAGAAATGCCAGCAGTAGGAATCGTTTTCCCCATATTGCCACTACAGTGTGATGCCCTGTATAATGTGCGCACCACTAGTGACCCTGAAGGCTAAGGTGTGTTTTCAAAAATGGTAATTTCAACTGTACATGAGCAGGTTTAGCACTCTGATCATATGAACATGCAGATATCAAATGCTGTGACCATATGGCCTTTTTAATTAGGAGCTAGCTTGTTTTCAAGTGGCATTCCAAAATGGGCACTGCTTTCCTTAAGCCTACAGTATGCATGCATATCAAACCTGTTAGAACCCTACAGCCGGTATTAAAAATTCAGGTGTGGAAACCACCATATTCCCCTGCATTTATACAGCAGGGAGACGAAGCAGCACCCTGTGCCATCTGCATGTATGGTTACTCATGCTTTCTCTCTGTTGATATAGAAACAGTGTACAGATGTACTTCCTGGATTGAAAAAAATAGCAGAGCAGTGTAACTGGGTGCCTCTCTCACAGGCTTCTCTGTAATTCGAGCCTTAAGTCCGGAAACCAGAGAGGAACAAGTGGAGTTGTCATAATGCTAGATCACAAACATGGAAGTGAGGCATAGTGCAGCTGCACATCCCTTCCTCTTCTATGCGATCTACACAGAAAAGTGCTATAGGTTCCACAAGAGCAGGCACATGAGTGTAGTGCTGTGGTGGCTGACTTCCTACCCTTGAACAGTCTTGTTGTGCCTTACATGCATGAAAGTATTTATTTATTAAAATGTTTATACCAGTCTATCCTTGAGGTTCAAGGTGGCTTACAGTAATAGTTTAAAAGTTCAGTTAAAGATAAAATAACAAACCCCAAATAAAATGGTTTGATGTTTTCTGAGTTGAACTCAGCCATACTGAAAGAGAAAATGCTGGATCTGAATTATTATATCCTAACTATAAAATTTCAGAAAATGGCTTCTACTCAGAAGGAGGTTTTTAATCTTCAAAACTAACTTTTAGAAGCCAAATTTCTTCCAATATGCTTTAATTGTGAAGGGAAAGTATAACCTTTTTGGAAATGTACATATGTATACGTATTATTTAATTTGATCTTAAAAGGAAATAGAATACTTGTGTCTTGTGCAAACAGCATAAATAATATGGATCTTGACTGCTTCAGCACTCAAACTGGCTCCAGCTGGCTCCTTCTGCCTGCGTCCTGGTAGTTTTTGCCGCTTTCAACCCTGAAGAGCTTTAATAATTACAAAGATGCAGCAGAATATGCCAGTTGGAAGATACTCCTGCATATATGACTGTGCTGAGAGTATATCTCCTGTCAGAGCAGCACTAGTCTCCCTCATAGTTTATTAAATTCTTAGGTAAACATTCACAGCATGATAACATTATCAAAGAAGAGATATGTAATTGAAAGTGGAGTTAATGACTTTGAAAACATTCAGAGGTTTCTTTGTAATTTGGGAAAGTGAATACTTTTCATCTTGGTGGTAAAGGACTGTTTAACATTTTCAAAGAAAATTGTTACCTTCCAAGAAAAAGAGCTTCAGTTGGTATCTCGGACTTCTGATCAACAGATATGTTTGTCTTGGGTTCCCCCCCCCCCAATAGAAAGTCTTCATTTTCCTGCATCTGCAAGAAAATAGGAGAATCTGCAGAACTGAATTTGGTGAGCTGAAAGCAGACTGAATCTGCCCCCTGTGTGTTGTCCATGACTGTTCTAAAATCTTTTCTCATCAGCACTTCAGTTTGTGGCTTTTCTCCACTTCTAGTGTGACCAACATAACTTTTGCATGAAGGAAATGTGTTTTTGCTTATATCACTAAACAAGAAAAAGGCTAGGATGTCTAATTTTAGATGCAGCATCAAGTGCCTTTCGTTGACCCTGTTAAGTGACCAAGAAAGCAGGTAACCAGAGAATGTAATCAAGAAGACCACGCTGTTTATGGACTAAAACATAGCATAGAATTAAATATGAACAAAAAACATATTAAATGTGTGAGAACTGTTTGACTTATTGAAGCAGCCAGCTAAGGAAATAAAATACACAAGGATGCTTCAAACAGCTTCATACACAAACTTAGCATCCACATTTATACCTATCCAGTGTCTGAATTACATTTAACACTTCTAGGTACCTTGAACTTTTACAGCTCTGGGGAGCATTCTGAAAGATGTATGCTGTGATCAAGGACAAATGAGGCAAACAGCAAAGTAGCATTGTGACAGGACATTGAGAAGGAAGGGGCTGAATCAGTAGCAGATGTTTTAGGTGTCATACGTCTACTTCTTTTCCACCCTGCCTCTTCCCACTCTGGAAAGGAACATCCAGAGCATGATGCATGAAGCATATTATTTTTGTAGTAATGTCTCAGATGAGAGTAAAGGTAAGACAGTTTTGAAACTGTTTTAATCTGTTATGACTAGCAGTTAAAGGCCAGATTGGAAATATATAATACGCTGGAGAGAAGCTGCTAATTTGCATTAACATACTTAACACACTGTTAAATAGTACATTTTCATCCTGCCATTCTTCCAAGAAACGCAGGGTGTCATATGTGGTTTTTTCATTCCCATTTTATTCTCTCAACTATCCTATGAGGTTGGCTAGACTGAAAGACTATGACTGGCCCAAGGCCACCCAGAGTGCTTCATGGTAATGTAGGAATTGGAACCTGTACCACACTGGCTCTAAGTTTTAATGCATAGAATCTGTACCTTTGTCGGTCAGGGCCTTAGATCACACATCCTAACTTATCTGAGGAATTTACTGCAATGATTTATGAATATGCTTGGATTGAATGGAACAGTCTGCATATAATATATATTGCTCGTTGATGCTCTTGACTCTCCAAACTTTGTACATTTTCCTCCTTATCATGGGATTTACTAAAACTGGAAGGAGGGAGAGAAAGAGAGAGATGAGCTGTGAACTATTGGAATACCTGAATAATACCGGGCTTTAAGCTAGTTTTTTCTTGTTAAAAATAGTGTAGTACATATATTAAATTCTTGTCAGAAGGATTTGAATGTTGTTCTAGAAATATCTGTTGTTGTAAAGGTCTGTTGGTTATGTGCCACAGCCATAATTAGAAAGTGGGTCGAGTCTACTCTCAGTGACCTCAATTGTCAGCTTTTGCTTTATTCCTAGAGGGATCACAACATCATTCTTAACAAGCCTCTAGGAATAAATATAATTAGAATTCTGAACATATTCTGTTTCTGTATCTAGAGAATAATTAAAGCCAGCACCCTTCTGTCTCTAGTGTCACATAAAGCAATAACTTTATTATGCCTAAACCGTTTTTAATAATTTATACATAGTGTACAGCTAGTATTTTAGCGACTATATTCCAAACTTTTATAGGTTGTTTATAGTTCCAGTTGAAAGCTGAATACTAAGAATACTGTGCCCAATATATTCTTGATGTATTCTGTTATCCATAAAATGAACTGCAGAAAACCAGTTGAGTCTCACTGGCTTAAGTGGCATTTCAATCTCTTTAAGATGGCAGTTCTCTGTATAACTATTTTAAAACAGCTACAATATCTAGTAATGAGCTTAAAACAGTGTGTGCAGTTATTTTGATCAGTCAATATTGTGCTGTGGCAATGTACATAAATAGCCAATGGCATCACACCCCTTGCCCATTCATCCTTGAGCAACCTCCCCCGTGGCCCTCTGCTACTCCCCAGCAAACTGTCTCTGCCTAGCCCAGGACTGGATGCTACTTTCCCTTTCCTTTGGATGAGTGTTCCCTCTGGGCTCTGAGCCTCTCTGCCACCTCACTGCTAGGCTGGCCTGGTGCCCCCTGCTGTTCATTCACTTCTGAATGAACAAGCAGAGGTGGTTGAGATGCACTGCCTAGAGGGAGAAGGCAAGGTAAGCAGAAGAGACAGTTGTAGCTGTGTCCTGAGGAAGCAACAAAAAACATCTGTTGGTGCCTACTTTTGGTGGTGCTGTCCAGAGCAGGAGATGAACAGCTTTGACAGGGGATGTTGTAGGAAGCAAAGCACAACTCACACACTCTTTCTTTGCTCTGCCAGCACCAACCAGATTCAAAGGAGAGCAGAAGAATTATTCTCCATCTTCCAAGTGGGAGGGAGAATACTGAGGCACATGCAGCACTTGGAAAGGGGGCAGTACACTTAATGAGAAGACCATTAAGAACATAAGAGACACCAATGTTGGATCAGGCCAAAGGCCTATCCAGTCCAACACTCTGTCACACAGTGGCCAAAAATACCAGGTGCCATCAGGAGGTCCACCAGTGGGGCCAGGACATTAGAAGCCCTCCCACTGTTGACACACACCCCCAGCACCAAGAAGACAGAGCATCACTTGCCCCAGAGTCCCTATCTATACCTTGTGGCTAATAGCCACTGATGGACCTCTGCTCCATATGCTTATCTAATTCCCTTTTGAAGCTGTCCGTGCTTGTAGCCGCCACCACTTCCTGTGACATTGTAGGGCATCTTGCCCAGGCCACCTGAAACCCAAAGCTGGCACTGAAGAAACAGGCTAATAGCTTGGGGGTGCTATAAGAGCAGTGCCCAGAAGGCTTGTCTGTGGTGAATGGTGCCCCTAGCCAACTTCAGTTGGTGTACCTGCTGTGGTCTTTCCTTGAGGTCTATGGGTTGTCCAAAGTTAACCATCCTTTCATCCCACTAAGGCTAGATTACTGCAGTGGCAGCACCAGCAGCAGGTATCCTCTGGTATATTTGCCTTCTAGCAGGGACTTCAAATCTTCCATGTTCTGTTGTGAGAGATCTACATGTGGAAGCCTGGCATTGCTGAGACTGGAGACAACTTCAATTTGTAAGCTGTGTGAGATAGTAGTAGCACCTGTAGCACTTCCTTTTAATTTATTTTAATGGCAGGGGGAGTGGAGTGGTAGATATGCGAGAAGGCACTTCCTAAAATATCCCGGACTCAAGTCATTTTTAGGTCAAAACTGGCATCTAGAACTTGGCTTGAAAAGAAACTGAAAACCAATGAAGCTTAAAGACAAATCGGTCTTAAATAATCTCCAACTGGCCCATTGTCTCTACATATCTGAGATGAACCAGTATAAAAAATGTACCTTCCAGAGAGAGGGAATGGGGTGGGGTGCGGGGGAGGGATAAGAAGGAATATAGCTGCATATTAGGTAGCAATTGGGAAGTGAATAAATTGATCTACCTAAAATGTCTGTGAGTAGAACAGGAAAATCCAGTATTACGGTTTTAGTTACCTGGTGATATTGTTTGTTTGAAAGAGTCGCTGGGCCAGGTTCAAGCCACTGGTAGTCACGTGTGCTGCTTAAGTATCTGTGGGCAAAGGCTGTTCTTTTCCCCCAACTGTATTACAATCAAAACAATATCGTATTGCAAGCAGTAAGAAACATTTATAATGTAAATGTAACTGATAGATAAATGTAGTAATTTGAGAACGCAGAAAAGATAAGCTTAGTAAAATAGATAATGAATTTAGAAATTTAATAAGCAGAAGAAATAATAAAATCTCTTGTTATATGTTATATGTTGTGGGGGGTAGTTGGGGGTTGTTTGTATGTATGTCTGTAGTATATAAAGGGAAAAAATAATAAAAGTACCCTCGGGTACTTATAAAAAAAAAAGAAACAGTCTTGTTTTAATACTATATCAGTTTCAGGATTGGGGCTGAGGTTACATAAATTATTCTTCAATAAATCTGATAACTTCCTGCAGGGCAGTACACTATTATTAGGAATAAAAAAGAGACAAGGTTGTTTGTGGTCCTAGTGGAGGCAGGATTGCTGATTTGCTCTTGCACCTAGCCTTTCTGTTAATTGCAGAGCACATGGATGTTCTGGCTGGAGGCAAAGTTAAGTCCTTTTGTCACATGAGAAAGCTGTCTATAGGTGAGAGGCTGCAGGACCATATTTGCACCGCTGCAATATGTGTAAGTCTTTGTAATGGGCCTCATTGCTGTTACTCATTGCCAAGATAGTCGGTGCATGACAGCATGACATCTGATTTCCTTCTAATGTAATAACTTAGGTACTTTCAGTCATCGTATCAAAGAAGACATTTTACCAAGTAGAGCTTGTGTGGGTGTGTGAGGCAACGCACCCTAAATTCCCTCAAGTGTTAACATAATTCTTAGAAGGTGTACTCCTGCTGGCAGGTGTCCATGATTTCGGCCTTCCTGCCCATACCCCCTTTATCTCTTTCAAGGCCAGTTTCAAGAATGTGGTAATTGGGTAATCATGAGAACCTATGTTCAGTTGTGTAACCAGATGGGAGGGGAGAATTAGGAGCAGGCATTAACATTTTCTGGAAAGTTCCATCAAGGGAGATTCCTGATTGGATCCGAGAGACCACCTGGTGCCAGAGGGCAAAAGGGTATAATAAGGTATAGGCCAGATGGAAGCCATGCTAACTTTGTGCTCATGCCATGCCAGCAGGCTTTGATATGTTATGCTTCATAATGGTGGGCTGCAACATATAGAAATCTTTTATGCTACAGCTGGGATTCCTATGCTGCAAGAAGATATGCCATCTAATACCAGGTATTCAATGTATTAGACAGAACAGTTAGCTTCTTTATTTTCTCTGTTGCTAAGCTATAGAGACTGTATTGTGTAGTGAAATATTTTAAACCTTTAAATATACCCTTATATATTTTTAAAGGTCTGCTTTATTTGTGTGCATTGAATCTCAAGGACCCACAGGGGTGGGTATCGCTCAAGGGACAAGGAGCAGTGACCCAGAGGGGACTCAGGCTTGGGTGCTACAGAGGTCTGAAAACGACATCTTCCCAAATTCTCTTATGATACTGAAGAAGCTCAAAGCACTTGTATTGAAAGATTCTGACGGGGGGAAATATTCAAAGAACTCTTGACTTACAGCACTATTAATGGCAGTGTTGTCTTTTTTCTAGATCAAAGTACTTCAGGACATGTTCTACAGGAGAACATTTCACTATAGAGGTGAGTTCAGGTTTTCTGTTCCAAAATGTACGACCTCTTTGTTTATTTCAAGAATTTTTGACTGTATTCTTAAGTAAAGATGTAGAGTGGAAAGTTTTCCAGTGCTTTATTTTAAAGAAAAAAATCCATTTCTAAAGATGCATTGTTTCATATAATGAATTAACTGTGAATGGATGCTGTTGGCAATACAATATTTGGTAAGTGGTAGTTTCAGAGTTGCATTTTTCTTCAAGTGATTATCCCTAGGAATTGTGTGAGAGATTTTAGTGCCTTCAGTTTTTCACCTAAATTTAAGCAGTGTGTTGAATCTAGATAGCTTCTTTGTTCTATCTTAGGCAATTCCCCACCTTATTACATCCCTGGTCTCACATGGCTTTTGTATATGCTAGTCCCTTGATCCCAGTACAGCTTTTTTGGTGGTCAAAGGGGACCCCATCCTTCCTATTCCATTAGTGGAAGGGCTGGTTGGCTGCAATGTCAAGTAAGGGAAGTGCTTGCTATAGTGGGCAGTGTCCCTACCATCCATGTGTGGCAGACAAACAAGAGTTGCTGCAGCTCCTTCCAACCCCTGGAGAGATAATTCCTGGACTTGCAGCATCTGTGCAGGACAGCTGTGAGGATTGGGCTGGAGGGAAACGAGGATGAAACTGCCCCTTCCTCTCAGCAAAACTGTGCTTGAAGAAAGAGAAACAACTTCATCTCTTTTCTTTCCTCACTGCCGCCCCCCACCCCCATCTCCAGGTTTTCCTTAATGTGGGCTCTGGGAGCCTGGTACTAGTCATTCCAGGGATCAGAAAGAGCTGCAGCAATGCAGAGAAACTTGGGGAACCTACACTTTCAGCACGTCTTTACATTTGTACAGATATTATTCCAATAAAAATAATTTCCAGATAAAGAATCCACACAATCAACCTCTTCCAGTGATCTTTTCCATGTGCACAAGGACAAATCAAATGAAATCATGTGATTCATCAGTTGTTCAGTCATATTGGTCCATAGACACATTATTTTGTTAAAATGCTAAAGTTCTGTTTGCAGGACTCCAGTTTTATCTCATGCTTTCATGACTATTTGAGCAAAGCCAAGAAAATATTAAGACAGTATATATGAGGGGTCATTTCCTGCAGGAGTGCACAGGAGCAGAGCTCCGGCAGTAAAGAGCCCAGGGGGTGGGCACATGCAACAATCCCTGCTCCCAACAGCCCTCAGTTGGGCCATGAGGAGCAAGAAGCAGCCAGTTAAGTTGCAGAGCACCCCCCAGCTTGCCTTTCCCGGCTTGCACTGAGGCACAGGGCCCGGTGAAGGTCTCTGGAGCGCCCCACCCCATTTTACCCAACCCGCGCTGAGGCGCAGGGCTCAGGGAAGGCCTCTGGAGCGCCTACAGAGCCCCCCCCACCTTTCCCAGCCCGCCCGCCTTGGCGGATGGCCCAGGAAAGGCCTACAGAACCCCCTGCCTGCCTTTCCTGGCCCACCCGCCTTGGCACACGGCCCAGGAAAGGCCTACAGAGCCCCACCACCACCTTTCTCAGCACCTGGCTGGTGCAGGGTGGTGGTGGCGGCAAGGTCTTGATCGGGATGGGTGGGTGGGCCATGGGGGGGGGCTTGATCGTGGGATGGGAGAGCCTCCCTCCCTCCCCATCTCTTTGCCCTCTTTCTTTTCCTCTTTCCTTCTTTCCTTCTTTTTCCTTTTCTTTCTTTTTCCATTCTTTCCTTCCTTTCTCTTTCTTTCTTTCCCTCCTTTTTCCTTTTTTCCCCTCCTTCTTTCCTCCTCTCCTTTCCCTTTCCCTCCTTATTTCCCTCTCTCCCTCTTTCTTTCCCTCCTTCTTTTCTTCTCTCTTTCTTTCCCTCCTTTTTCCTTCTTTTTTCTTTCCCTCTTTTCCTTCTCTCCTTTCCCGCTTTCCCTCCTTATTTCCTTCTCTCCCTCTTTTATTTCCTTCTCTTTCTTTCCTTCTTTATCTTTCTTTCTTTCCCTCTTTCTTTCCCTCTTTCTTTCCCTCTTTCTTTCCCTCTTTCTTTCCCTCTTTCTTTCTTCACAGATCTGTGCATTCCCCACCCCCCATAGCTAGCAATCCAAAACAGTCCAGTGGCACCTTTAAGACCAAGTTTTATTCAGGTACAAGCTCTCCCTCCTCTGCGAGAACAGATCTGCACCCCCCCCCCAATAGCTAGCAATCCAAAACAGTCCAGTGGCGCCTGAGCGATGGGTGTTGCCTTCTGACACACTTCCAGTGATATCAGGGGGTGTGGCATATGCAAATGAGCTATGCTAATGAGTTATGCTAATGAGCTCCTGCACCTCTTTTTCTACGAAATGAACCCTGTATATGAGTAAACATCTGGTGGTTGGCAGCTTTAATTGTTTAGAGGGGCTGTGGCATGGTGGAAGAGCCTCTGCTTTGCACGGAGAAGGTTCCAGGTTCAAACCCCAGCATCTCCAGTTATAGGTCCAGGCAGGAGGTGATGTAAAAGACCTCAGACTGAGACCCTGGAGAGCCACTGCCAGTCTGAAATAGACAATACTGACTTTGATGGGTCGATGACCTGATTCAGTATAAGGCAGCTTCATGTGTGTTCAGTTGTAAAATCTTAATGCACGTTATTAAATGTCCCATTCTCCCTCTGAGGTGGAGGACATCTTGCTGGGTGATTCCCACCATCCAATCAGGGAGGCAGGAACATTTTTTTTAACTTCCTGTCTCTTGCCTGTGGGAGTCGCCCTCTTCAGTTCTTTTCCTGCCTCAACAGGGAGAGCAGCTTAGATCAGGCTTTTCCTTTATCTAATCTTTAATACTCTAAATTCCTTATTCAACCTCATATATCTTCTATCTTAACTACTTCTATATACTTCCTGTAATTTTTTCACTGTTCTTCCCTATATTGTAACCTTTTTTGGAGAAGAACAATGTTATAGAGGCTGTCTTCAACAGCGGTGGCCATTTTAGGAGACAGCGAGGGCTTTCTTCTGCTGAGGAGCTGAACACCCTCCTTATTGCTGGTGCCGGACAGGGTACAAGAGGAGCCAGCATGACCTATTCAGGCTTGCCTAAGCTGCCAATATATGCAGACGTGTGCTAAATGTCCACAGAACAATACGACAACAAATAAGACTATATTAAAGCCATAACTTATTTAGTGTCTGGTAATAAAGAATAACAACATATTCCAACACAGAAAAAATACAAAGGTTCATAGAAATTCACATAGCAGTCTGCTCAAGTCTGTCAATCTATATCCCTCAAACAGTCTGTTGTCCTTATTTAAATTCACAAAAGCAGTCTGCTCAAAGTTCAATAAGTCTGTATATCTCTTTCAGTCAACACTTTTTCTGGATATCTAAGTGTTGCAGACCTCTGGTCTTTCCTCAGGAACAAATACTATATAGGAATCTTACATTCAATCTTACATTCAAGTAGACACGTTCATAGATTTGCTTTTCTATTAATCTATTTGGGCAACATCTCCTTCCTTATTTCCAAGCATGCTGAAACTGCTGCCAAAGTAAAGTAGACCCACACTATCCATAGGAGGCATCACTGAGTCCTTTCAGCTGGAGGAGTATCTTACTTCAGTAGATCTTGTTGATCAGATCAAACCCTGTGGCCAAGGTGCACCAAGACCCAGAAACAACTATATACTGTCTACAGAACTAAGGATTCCTGTTCAATCTTCAGTTAAATTCTCTTGCACCGACTAAGAAAGTACAACACCTAGGTATCAGGATGGTCACAACTTGCTTATACACTAGATCACTACAGCAGCTTCCAAGACATTTCCAACTACAAGTTATGACCAAGGGGGACCCTTTCCATCAGGGTTCCCTTACAGTAAAGACCAGTCTCACTGGGAGGGCAAGAACACTTAATCCCCTTCAGGTAAGGAAACAGTGCATCACAGAGGTGAAGCAGAACTTTCTCAATCTCCAGTCTGCCTTGTTCAGGACAACGCTAGAAGGCTCACCAGTACAGGGTTGGTGATCTGGGAGCAAGGCAAGCCCCCTGGAGCTTCAGACAATTTATCTGGCCCTCCTTTACCATCAGCCTACAAATACTTGGTCAACATGTACAACATACAATGAGGGTCTAGATCTTCATCTACCACAAAAAAACTTTCAAGATTATAATGTGGGCGGAGAAAAACCTGACATCACCAAACAACCTTCAAGTGAATTGGTGCTCCACCATGTTTCTTCTTCCATTGGCTGAAGCGATCGAGGCTTAACATCCCAGTGGCCAAGTGACCTTATGTTTGCCTATTCCCCACCCCACCCCAGTTCCTTCAAAATTGGTCAAGAAGATCAAGGACCAGAAGGTAGCAATCACAGCACTTAAGAGAAGAAGAGATTGGATTTATACCCCGCCCTTCACTACCCAAAGGTGTCTCAGAGCGGCTTACAAACTCCTTTCCCCTCCCCTCCCCACAACAGACACCCTGTGAGGTAGGTGGGGCTGAGAGAGCTCTTGACAGAAACTGCTCTTTTTCAAGGACAGCTCTGACAGAGCTTGCGACTGACCCAAGGTCACATCAGCAGGTGCAAGTGGAGGAGTGGGGAATCAAACCCGGTTCTCCCAGATTAGAGTCCGCACACTTAACCACTACACTAAACCATATTGTCCTCAGTGACCATGATTCTTGACCCTCAAGGTAGGGTGAACCAACCACTGCTAATGCTTCCAGTATCACTGGACATGCTTCAACAAGGTCCTGTATGGCTTCCACATTCAGGATGGCTGTGTTTAACTGCTTGGAGATCAAGTGAGGTGACCTTTATGTCTAGGTTTTTTGACAAAATGCAGTGGCTACCCTGCTAGATTAATTTACAATACTTCATGGAGGACTTATCAGGCAGAGTAGAAGAAAAGGTATCGACCTCCTGAAGACTAAGACTAAATAGGTTCTGTCCTTTCTATAAGAGGGACATGATGGGCTCAAGGATTCTTCCTTTACAATGTCAAGTTGCAACTCTGACAACAGGTGTTACCTCTGTTCCAAGGTCTGAGCCTATCTAGACACCTTCAAGCTTGCCACCTTCCCAGGGGTGCTGCTCTAAATGAGCCACCACAAAGATGAAGGTTTCTAATGCAGAAATTGTGTACCATACTCTTGGTTTCACCAGACACTATTTGATCCTATTAAATTCCACTTAAATGGCTGAGGATGAAAATCTTATTTTTCTTATAGCAGGTGCCTCAAATAGGAGGGTTTCTGTTCTAGGCACTTGTTCAGTCAAGCCTGAACTATGAGTTTTCCATAGAGACAAAAGGGTCATGAAGACAGATACTACCTTTACACCAAAGGCAAATTCGATGTTCCATTTGTTGTTGTTCAGTCGCACAGTCGAGTCCGACTCTTCGCGACCCCATGGACTAGATCCCGCCAGGCCCTCCTGTCTTCCGCTGTCCTCTGAAGTTTGCTCAGTTTCATGTTCGTTGCATCTCTGACACTGTCTAACCATCTCATCCTTTGCCGTCCCCGTCTTCTTTGACCTTCAGTCTTTCCCAGCATCAGGGTCTTCTCCAGTGAGTGCTCTCTTCTCATTTGGTGGCCAAAGTATTTGAGCTTCATTTTCATTATCTGGCCTTCCAGGGAACAGATGTTCCATAGGTCCCAGAAAATTTCAATCTTCCGCATTTCACCTGAATCCTGTCCATCCAAAGGAGAAACTGCAGCAGGCCTTGGAAGCAAGACGTAGGCTTAAAATCAATTTCTTATTCATCTTTATCTCTCTACTGAATGAAGGAAGGAGGATGTCAATTTAGACATCGGCAGTACCCTTAAGACCTACATTATTGAAGCTTACAAAGCTCAATATTTGAAATACCATTTGGGATCACCGCACACTCAGTTCAAAGTGCCACAACCAACTCATCACTAACCAAATACGCCACAGTCAAAGAGATAGGCAAGGTGAACATATGGTCATCAGTATCCACCTCATATCCACTCTAAGGTGAACTTCTAGGACTTAGCTGACACAGCTTTTGGAAGTGATTTACAATATATTCTAGATCCAGAGGATGATTACCCACCCAGTAAATGAGGACACTGCTTTGGGAGGTTCCAGCAAGATGTCCTCTGCCTCAGAGGGAGAACGACCATTGGACACTTACCGTGAAGGGTTCTTCTCCTCTGAGGAAAGGAGGACATCTTGTCCCTCCCAAAGTCATTGTCAAACTAGTTATTCAGCAGGTACACTTCTTGTCTCACAAGTACTGTTTGCCTGTTTTTTCCATATCTAGGCTGTCTCTCTGTTCTTGTCTGTCTGTTCTCTTTCCTTGAATTGACTTTACAGTCCTACTGCTTTGGGAGTTACCAAAACTGAAGAGGGTAACTCCCACAGGCAAGAGACAGAGGAAGTTGAAAAATTGTTCCTGCCTCCCTTTGATTGGACAGTGGGAATCACCCAGCAAGATGTCCTCCTTTCCTCAGAGGAGAAGGACCCTTCACAATAAGTAGCCAATGGTCGTTTTATTGATTGTACTAATTCACTATGTGTAATTTGCCTTGAGTCTCTATGAAAAAGGTGAACTATAAATAACATAAGTAAAAAATAAATAATATGCTTGTATCTTTTTGCAGTTTGAGAATCTAGTGGAAAGTGATGAGGTAAGTGATTTCTGATGACAAATCAGTAGAAAAGTACACAGCCAGATCATGAACTGACTAAAGCATAGATGTAACAAAATGGCACAAAACACGGAAAACGTGAATAGCAACAGTTTTCTACAACATTTTTAATAGTCAACGGGAGCAATATTTTTTCTCACATTGCCTGTCTGTGTTTCCACAATGCAAGATAGATGTAAGAGAATGTTCTACTTGTGATTGCTGTTTGCAATTTAATCCCTGTCCTGTTTTATATGAGAGTTGAGCCATGCTGTTACTTCCCTTACAAGCAGTGTGATGCAGTATAGCCTAGAACCATGTTTTTCTACTCTACTGCTGAGCTGCATACATGTCCTATTAAAAGAAAATGGCCCACACTGCAGGTTTTTGTTGTGTCTAAGATTCAAGGTACATGTGATAGTGGCAGGCTCCTTTGTTTAAATCTGGGTCTCACAAAGTGACATCATGCACTCCCATTTTTATGTTTTATTTATTAATTTAAAATATTTGTACCCCTCATTAAACATTCAGATTAAATTAAACTTTTTTCAAACCCATTTATAAGAAGAGGAAAAAGAAGAGATTGGATTTATATTCTGTCCTTCATTTGGAGTCTCAGAGCGGCTTACAAACTCCTTTCCCTTCCCCTCCCCACAACAGGCACCCTGTGAGGTAGGTGGGGCTTATAGAGCTCTTTTGAGAACTGCTCTTTCAAGAACAGCTCTGACATAACTATGGCTTGCCCAAGGTCATCCAGCAGCTGCAAGTGGAAGAGTGGGGAATCAAACCCGGTTCTCCCAGCTTAGAGTCCGCACACTTAACCACTTGTTTACTTATTTAAAACATTTGTTTGCCACCCCCAAGGCAGCAAGTAATCCAAAACATTAAAACAAGCTTTTGAAATACATAGTCTAAAAACTATTAAAAGTGCCAATAAGCAAAACATGTACATAGTTAAAACACATATACAGATGATCAATGAGGGAATGCCAGACAAAGCACATAAGTGTTCACCCGCTGGCAGAAGACAGTGGAAGACGGGGACAAACAGGTCTCCCAAGGAGGGAACTGCATAATTTTGGTGCCACAACTGAGAAGGTCCTTTCTCAGATTGCCACCCATCCAGCCTCAGACAGGAAGAGCATTCAAAGAAGGGCCCCTGAAGATGACTGCAGGGTTTAGCTATATTCGTATGAAAGTAGGTGATGTTCTTGGGCAGAGTCCCTAAACTGCCTCTTCATTCTGTCTTGGTGCAGAGTTCCTTGCAGCCTTTGCTATCTGTGTTCCCTTTAGAACAGACTTCCTTCCCCCTTGATCTTATTGGATTACAGATTGTGCAACCACCCTTAATCTTCTGATGGCTCTGAATTGTAGTGGTTTTTCGTTGTTGTTAATTTACATCAGTTAGCTTTATGGTTTGGAAATAACTTGGTAGCAGAGTTGTTGTTCTTGCTTGAATAAAGTTTTTAAATTTCTTCATAATTAAACAGGGTGAAAGTCCAGGAAGCAGCCAAAGGTAAGAGGTGGCACTTATAATACAGTTCCCTCTCTTGCCTTTTTTCTATTTTTCGCCTACATCATCTGCTTTTCACATCAGTCAACTTAGCAATGATCTGATTTTTTTTAATGTTTCTGTTTTTTGTTTTTATTATTATTTTCCAAACCCATTTAGATCTTTTGAGTAGGTAAACTATGTGGTTATCTTGCTGTAATTAATAAGTTATTCTTTAAAATGATGTAAATCATAATGTTACTTGGATCACAATGTTCTTTGCTTGTAGACAGGTGGAAACAAAATATGTTAGTATTTTAATTCAATACCAGTACCTACCAACCAACCAACCCCCAAAATGCATTGGTGGGCATTTCCAGGCAGGGTCAAGGGGGACAAAGTTCCATCCTGGGGCCCAAGTGAGCTCAAAGGCCCATTAAGTCAAAGTCAAGCTACATTCTGCTGAATACATTTCAGTTTATTTTACTTTTAATGCAGTTCTCGGGTGCAGCCCCTAGGGGTGCAAAGATGTCTGATCATAGTAAGTGGTAGTCAGTCTTATCTGTTCATATTTCTTTCTACAAACCCTTACCTAAGGATCAACTAAGCCCATCAACCCAAGCCATCATTGGTGCGAGGCAGGACCAGCAGCCTGACTGCTTAAGTAATTGCCAGGCTGCAGCCTGCTAACAAGGTTATTGTCTTCAGCAGTCTGTCCTTTTCCTCTTTGTTTTCGTTGCTGCCAGCTTCGTAGTTTTGTCTGCCCAGCCAAATCCTGCAGAGGGATATTTAGTGTGCTGTCGCCAAAGAAAACCACCTTTCTTTCTCTTTTCCTTAATTTCTCTCCCTTTTCCACACTTTTCTACTCTTCAGTTTGCTCTCTTCCTTTCATAATCTGCCTTCATTTCTCTCTTCCCCCAAATCTATTTTTTCATCCTCCCTCCCCCAATTTTATTTTCAGTCCTCTTCTCAACTCCCTATTACCAACACAGCACTGAGTGAATTCTTATGCTTATTTTTAAAGGAAACATGGAGTAGATCAGAATTTTTTTAAAATCTCTACTGAATTCACACCTCTTTGGCCATGGTAATGGAATGTTAATCTGTTTTAGTCAGTATAGATGTGGGACAGAAATTAGACCTCCCTACTTAATTAGTTTTAAGTACATTTTAAACACTGTTCAGGAAGTGGGTTGTTAGTACTATTGTGTTGTTGGGACATCTAATAGCCCTTTGTAAAGGCTCCTTTGCTACTGTAGGCATGTTGTTTGACAAACAATTTAATCTTTTTAGATAATGTTAGCAAAATCAATCCCAATGACCCCAGTACTTCTCATCCAGCACCACAACATAATGCAGTTTGTCCTTGCTTTTGTGCTAGGTAAAGGGTACAGGTACAAAGGTAAACAAATAGATTGATTTACTTTATAAAGATTTATTGTGACAAAGTTTTTGTGAACTAAGGCCCATTTAATTAGATGTAGGATGTGTATTCTATATTGGTAGAGATCTATATGTGTGTGTAAATATAAAATTACAAAATTAGACACATGGCTATAGAGAGTAATATTGAGAGGCATAGGCTGTGCAAACTGGAAATGAGGAGGCATTTTTGGCAGGAACCACTTGTCTGGAAAGACAAAGGAAAGCTTCTCCTGTTTTGTTTACACAATTTGGAAAGCTTATATAGATACTAGGGTCCTGCACCTGATCACTGTACTTGCAGTATTTAACAGTAATTTGAAGCCGTTCTTTCTCCTGCCAAAAGAGTTGTGGCAATGTCTGATGAAGCAACAGCAAGAGTGACTATCTTTTTTTGATGGACTATAGGCAAAACTAGATTTACAGCAAATGTCATACCCTGGCCTTCTCCCTAATGGAGACCCAAAGCTGTTTCCATTGTTCTCCTGTCCTTCATTTTATCCTCACAACAACCCTGTAAGGTAAATCTGGCTGAGTGTGTGGCATTGGCCCAAGTTCACCCAGCTACCTTCCTTGGCAGATTGGAGATTCGCATATAAGAGACACACAAAAGTTTACTTAAAGGTTCTCTTACTACATGCCTCCTATCATGAAGATAACCTGGTCCAGGATATTCTAATTCCCTTCATTTTTGGCACTGAAACTACCATAATCAATCTGGGATTGGTGGCCAGTTTTCAAACATGCTGCATTATCTTCTCAAGAGTTATGCCTGCCAAAAACAGATACCCTTAGCTTCCATTGGAAATGTCGGGAAATAAACTTGGCCAGGATGTTTTTGTGATATTTTTCATTTTTGGTCATGGAACTTCCACAATCACCCTAAAACCTGGTGGTCAGTTTTGAGTCTCCTAGCTTCATTTTCTGATGAGTTTTGCCTGCCACAAATGAACAGATTAATGGACACACCAATTCTTTTATTTCTATAGATTCATGATAGCAGCAAGCCAAGTGATTTGTTGTGAGATTTAGTGTGGATCAGGGTCATATGGAGGGAGGGACCCAGGTAGAATGCTCATCTAGAGCCCATGGTGGCTCTAGGCAGCCCTGTTGAGGTGTGTGTGCTGAGATGGCAAGTAAGATGGCTGGAGAAGGTCCATGCTGAGTACTGGTGGTGTTTGCCATGCTGTCATTGCCCTCTTCTTCCACCCCTCCTCCTCCTTGCTGCCAGGAGGGAAAGAGGAAGGGGGATGGGGAGGTGGGTAATGAGTGTCACTGGTACTTGGGATGGAAGGGAGCCAGAGACCAGCGTCATAGGACTGCCCTCCTCCTTCCTGGCAGCAGCAGAGCTATTTCCCTGAAAGTTTCTTGCAAGTAACCGTTTGTTATTTCTTTTGAAAGTACTTAAAATATAGTAAGCCCTGTATACTAATCTGCTGGTTAAAAAAATACATTCTTACCTATATGCTCCTAGTTTAACATCTGGGGACAGCAGCTTAGAGAGAAGAAACTGAAAAGAATTTCAAAAGCTCTTTGTTAGGGGGTGTGACGGTACCTCTCTTTTATTTTGTGTAGTTAGGTGTGATGTGGTTTTAAATTTCTTGCTGTTTCTTTCTCTCACTCAAAGTATCAATCACTGCCCCCAGGAATTTAATTCCAGTCTTTAATTAACCTTTCCCACAGTATTGTGCCCAAGCTCTAAGGCTCCTTCGTTGGACTATGTGGTTCTGAGGATAAGACTCTGGATTAACAATAAACAATATAAAATTTTATTGGTAAAAGATGTGTATTGGTTAGAAGATGTTTTGTTAAGTTGCTCAGTAAAATCTTCCCCTTTTTACTCAGGTCTCTGTCAGCCTTTTCCCTCATACTCTTAAAGTATATTAGATTTTGCTTGATATGCCCCCTTAAGTATATGTTCTTCTTCCTTTAAACTCTTAATGCCTTTCACAGCACTTCTATATGATTCTAGTTAGAAGACTATTTCTCAGACTCTGTGTAGATTGACCACAACTGACAGCTACTGACTGCTGAATTCAGACCTCAAACTTCTAACTGAACACTCTGCCTTCTCTCTCTCTCCACATACACACTTCCTAGTTCCGCCCACACATGCTCAGCCACCAACCAATCATCTCACTCACTCATCTCCCTCTTTCACCCCCTTGTTCTTCTGATACTTACCAACCATTTAAAGAACCACACACATATAACTTGAAATCATTACAGGGGGCATCAGATGTTGAAGTCAACAATCCCATTAGGCCAGTGCACTCCTTTGTGTAAGCGAAGTAGCTCTTTGGGTTCAGGTCTGTTATTGGCTGACTCACTTATCGCAATCTATTAAGTTTTCCATTTTTGTATCAAAAAATTCCAGTTAATAAACTTATTACTTCCATTTTAGGCAGAACTTAGACATCCCACTTGAAAGCAGCAGAAATGGAGCAGTTAGGGAAGGAGTTGATTGATTCAGTTTGTTCTCCTTGCTTTTCTTCCCTCCAAAACAACTCATTGAATGAATTTTCTGAAAGAGCTCCACATTAACTTTCCTGTTGCTGGATCAGTGTGCGGGGACCTGTTTGGGGATAATGCATGGGAACTGGCAACAATGTGTTGGCAGCGTTTTGAATGTTACAAGAAGTACAAACACACACTCCCCTTAGGTGGATCAGGATAACAAGCCAGCTTTTTCTCCCTCTTTTTCTTCAGACCTCTAACAGAAGAAGAAATAGCTGATCTAAGAGCAAGGCATTACAATTCCATTGCTGAAAAACAAAGAACGTTAGATCATAAGCTTCAGTCAGAGGTAAGAGTACTAACAGTTTGCATGTGTGCCATTGTAATACAAATAATAGTCTTAATAATTGGCTGGAAAAGTTGAAAGCGTGGTCTCGTGAGTGAAACAGGAATGTGGATGACCCTATCAGAGTTGAAGGGAGAGGGTATGAATGGGGGGGAAAGAGAAAGTTGTGATAAACTGAGGCACCAAGAAATATAACGTTCTTTCCATAGAAAAGTAGATAAAGCCAATGGAGAGGGGAAAGGGCAACACTTTGACAGCTTTAGGATGTGGCAAGAAGTACCAGCAGAGAAAGAGCAGGTGACTTGTGCATCCTGCTGTGATACTTCTCCTATAATAACTGAAGTGATGAATGTTACATTTCCTCTGTGAGAGAGGTGTGAATCAGAAATGTATCTACAGCTCATGTGTCTAGTTTTTGAAGGAGGTGCATACATGTTTTATTTGGACATTAAAATGGAAGCATAAATAAAAGATGTGCAAATCATGTGAGAGTTTTTTGTAATATCCAGATCCCCTTTGTATGGAATAGCGGTGTGGGCTTTTTTAAATGATAAGTCTGCAGTCCTGCTTTTGTGATCGGAACGTAGAAGAAAACTAAGATGTTCTGTTACGAATGGCTAAGAGCTGCTTCGTATGTTACTGGCGTGCATATATCTCTGAAGCAGGCTTTTCTTTTTATTCTTTATTTCATATATACCACCATCTTTCTCCCCAATGGGGACTTAAAGCAGTTTACACCACTCTCCTCTCCACTGACAACAGCACTGTGAGGTAGGTTAGGCTGAGAGTGGATGACTGGTCCAAGATCATCCAGTGAGCTTCTATGACAGAGTGAGGATTTGAATCTGGATCTCCTAGATCCTAGTCTGACACTCTAGCCGTTGCACAACACTGGCTGTCATTTTCTTGTAATAACATGCATGTGCAGGTGTCAAGAAATCTACCTGTTGGCAATTACCACAAGAAGTGACAGTTCTATTAATTGCGGCCTGGGGCTGACCTATGCTGCCTGGGAGCGACTTATCTAAGGGACCGTCTCTCCCCATATGTCCCCTGGAGAGCCTTGCACTCAGTGGACCAACACTTGCTGGTTGTCCCCAGCCCAAAGGACGTCCACTTAACCTCAAACCACCAAGCCAGGGGTTTTTCTGCCCTGGCCCTAGCCTGGTGGAACATGCTCCCATCTGAGATCAGGGGCCTGCAGGACCTATTACAGCTTCACAGGGGCCTGCAAAATGGAGCGGTTCTGCCAGGCCTTTGGTTGAGGTGGTGGGCGCCCAATCATTTGGCCTCCCTTGCTGAAGCCTCCCTAATTGGATCTGTAACATCTTTAAGGAGATCTATCATTGCTCCTGGTTCTATGGCCTGGTTGTTTTTAATCATTCAGTATGGCTGGAACCTTATATATTCTCTAGTACTGTATTACCTGCTATTACAACTATTGTAGCTGTTTTAACTATTTATTATTAAATTGTTTTGATGATTTTGTATTTCAGTTGTTGTCACCCACCCTGAACCTGCTTGTGGGGAGGGCAGGATACAAATCAAAATAAATAAATAAATTCATACTATGAGAGGGTTTGCCATTTGAAAAAACTATAGCTCTTTAAAAGACTCTTAGAATTTGCTCCAAAGAATGGAGTACAGTGAAGTTTGAGTGACTCTATTGGTAGTAGGGAGCATGTTATGAAAATTAATTGTCACTTTTCTCTCTAGCCTTATCGTTCAAATGGTTGAACAGGCAGGGATTGCATCTCAAATAAAAGTGTGTATTAGCAACCATTCTGTGACCTGTGAAGTAAATGTGAAATAACCTAGAAGTAGTTTTTTCCCCCCAGTTATTTTTAGGTAATTGTGTAATTCAAATGAAATTGGTATTGGAAAATAGTACACAAGTTTTTCTTTTTTAACTAATTGGTAACTTTTGTTTTCATTTTGTTTAATTGATGACTTTTGCTTTAAATTTAGTGCACTTGTTTTCATAGGAAAGGTAGCTAGGTTCTCTTTTGTTAACCCTTATTATTTTGTTCATATACAGTTAGCCATACAAGAGGAGAAGTTAAGAATAGAAGAAGAGGCTTTATATGCTGCGCAGCGTGAAGCAGCCAGGGCAGCAAAGCAGAAAAAGCTCTTGGAGGTGAGGGGAAATGACCCCATCTGTACATCAGTATCTGTATATCAGAGCGTCTGTTACATATCTCGCTCTTAGTTTCACTTGGTTTTAAAACAACAACATAAAAAGGGCCTCTAAGGCAAAGCTTGGTTTGTAGTAGTTTGGTGCCTTGTAATCTCTGAAGTGGAGTAGAAAGTAGCATATGCAGAGCATTGATATACATGTTTCAAAGTGCTGTTATTATTGAATTTTGGAATGAGTAAGTAATGTTTGGCCAGTTACCTAAAAGCATACAGGAGATATTAGCCTCTTGCAGAAGTGTCTTGCAGAAGACTTCAGGGATTATAAAGGTATAGTGACATAGAGTTGGATTCAGTGCAGCACTGCCATCTGCAGAGCACCTTTCTGGCCACCCCCACCCCTGCAGCAGCATTTTTGGCCACAGTAGACAGAAGGAAGCCAGAAAGTCAACTCTGAAGAGAATTCATTCCATCTGCAGAAATTCTTTATTGGATCTAATCCATAATTTAAGCATGGACAAAAGATGGGATTTGAACTTTCCTCTTACCACCTTACAGCCAATACATTCAGGGATAAAACGGTCATTGTGAGAGTAGTACTGTGTCTGAGTATGCTGGAAAGTATAGGAAAGGAGAAGGGATACTGCATGCAAAACCTAGGATATGGAGCTTGTCCTAAAATAGTTGATGCAGTGGAAGATGCCAAAAGGAAGAGACAAAACGGGCACCATGGGCTAAAGCTGAGGGTAGGTCTTTTAGTGATTATTTCTGCTGATACTTTTAATTACTTCATGTATCTTTTAAAATAGACTTCTTCCTTATCTGCCTAGTGCTTATTTTTTTATTCATCAAAATTTTCTGCCTTTGATTTCGACTTGTCACTCCCCTTTAGGGAAGCGTGCCTCAAACGTCAGTATTGCAGCAATTTTTAAGATTGCTCTGCTGCACGCATTAGGAATCAATAAAGTTCTGTTAAATGTAATCATAAGTCTAGGTCTTCCTTTCATTCCTGGATTAGTAGGAGGAAGCATTTCAATGACTCCATGTAGCATGTGAAGACAATTATGAAATTCAACGCTGGACATTTTGGCCCCAGATTTCACTTATTCTGGAACAGGGGATATAAATTAAATGTTAATAGATTTTCATATGTGTATGCGGTATTTGGAAGTACTAGGAAAGAAATCTTCCCAGTGTATTGCATCAGATTTGTTCTCTCCCATCCCTGGCTTTATGGACCATGGAACTGAAGAGCACCTACTACATAAAAATAATAGTAATGTAATAATTTCTTAAATGACAGTAGAATATTCTAAGATCAGCGTTAACAGGTCAGCCTTGTGATCCAGTTGTTGAGGATATTCTTTCTGAAAATGGTTGATCACCACATGTGAGATCATAGGATGCCAAGTGCATCCTGGACTTTGTCAAGAACTTCCAGTATCCTTGAGATTTTGGGACAACTTTATCAAAAGAAGAGAAGAGGCGATTAAGACTTTTAAGAGCCTGTTTGTTTTCTCTTTATTGAATTGGCTGTGTGACATGTTACATACTTAAAAACCAAAAATCCCATAGTAATAAACTGCTATTAAGCATTGCCCTAGAGAACACAGAAAAGGCTGTGGTAATAGCGTATATGTCATTTTTTATATTAGCCAAAAAAGGTCTCGCTCTTTTTCCTGTTCATTTTTATTCTTCTGGGAATTATACAGTTTTCCTTCTGGGGTGAGGAAAAATGTTCTATTTTGCAGTAAGCAAGTTCTTCCCTTGATCTTTGATGTTAAACTTCTTGAACATTTAAAATATTCAGATATTGGGAAGGAGTGAGCAGACTACAACACAGGGTAGAATTTGTTTCTGTAAGTTTGAAACTCAGAAGCAAAATCAAATTAGGAACATAAGATTTTTAACTACACAGAATGATTGTGAGCCTCAGTCTGATTTGTTGCACTTCAGCCCCCTCAAATATAAGATATTGGGTAGGGCATTTACCTTCATGATCACTGGCTATAAAAATTGATAGGTTATGAGCTACTATTCATATGAACTCTTGGCATGAATTAGATGCTAAACTGAATTGTTCATCAATTTCTTGAAATGTTTGTTCTTTGTTAGCAACAAAGGGTGCAGAGGATAACACAGAGAGCACAATTGGCAAACAGTGGAGATAATCAAAGGTAAGATGTACAGGTAAAATGTTTACAATGTGCTCAAAATACCTGTATTTCCTTTAATGCAGAAGTCCCTTGAATTTTTTGTAATAACTTCAGAGAGCCAAGTAATGTGCTGTAATACCCATTCTCATCCAGATTTATTCATTGATAACAATGCATGATCTAAAGAAAATGTGAGACAAGCAGGTATAGGCTATATTGAGCTGCAAACACCAGGCTTATATGATAGATATTCTTATAAAAATATGCATTCAGTTTTGCATATCTGACAGTGAATTTCTTGCAGTCCTGTTGGATAGCTCTAAAAATATTAAAAGAAATTGCAGGAAATTCTGTTACTCTCAAAGTAAATTTAGCTTAGATTGATTTCAAGCTACTATTCTGAATTTAGTCCTCTTTGGTGTAATTTGTTCTCTTACAGCTCTATGACAGAGGAAGACTTTGATGCTTACTTGAGAAATGTGAAACTACAATATGAAGCTTTTCGAAGTAGCAGTAAGTTTTTTAAATGAATTTCCCCCCTCAAACCGCTACTACTGTGTATTTTATTCAGCTACCAAGCAAACTTGTAGTATAAAGAAATATTTAAAAGACTAGCACTTACATTTGTTGGAAATAGACAAAAAAAACCAGAATGGCTACAATGCAGTATCAAGTATAAGTTTATTGTCTTAGCCATAGGCCATAACATAATACATCAGAGTATTAAATGGTAATGTAAACAATAAAAAAATATATATCGGTATACTCCAATACTACTCCTACTTTGCATTAAATACTAAACTCATTCTGATTTTCCTTGTTGCTAAGGCAAATAACACAATTCTGCTAGAGACATATAGTAAAAATTAGACCAGATCCAGATCGGAGAGTCCATTACACTGCGGAATAAGAGGGATGGTGTACTTTAGCCTAGGGGCTTCATCCACTTCTCCCATATCACAAAGACAAAGTCTAAGGGGGGCAGGGATACTAAAGAAACGTCCAGTCCTGATCATTGAGGGCATGGATTGAAATCTTAAAGCTGTAAAAGCCGATCTTAATTCCAGGCTGGTTAACTTCTCTAAATACAGGGACCTACAGTGATCCCTTTTAAAAAACTTGAATATTGGTGCCGTAAGACAACATGCCATCACATCCTGATCCATAAGCCCATCCTTTTTGAACACTCATTCTTCAGTTCCTGTGCTTGAGTTTTATTCCTTAATAGATCATCAGGAATTGAAAATTTAAATTGAATCAAGGCCAAATGGTCACCTAATCTCTTGGAGGCTTTTAGGTGCAAACTAAAACTTAACCCCCCCCCAGGGAATCCTGGGGTCGTTCTAAAAATTTCCTCCAATAAGATAGAATTCTGACATTGACTCTGGCATTCAATGAGGTAATTCCCAGTTCAGCCCTCATTAATGCCACTGGTGCACCCCTTGGCGAGGCGAGAATCTACCTCATAAAATAATTCTGTACTATTTTTAATGTGGACGATATCTGATCTCCCCAGCCCCAGATCTCTGATCCATATAGCATAGCTGGAATTATCTTACTCCCATACAGTTTAAGAACTGGGTCTACCATGCCTCCTCCCTTAGACAAGTAGAACTCCCAAATTCTTCATAGCAGCAACTTTTAATGATGTAAAGTGGGGGCGCCAGGAGAGAGTTTCAGAAAAGGCTAAACCCAGATATTTATACATGCATACAACGTTTAAAAGACTAGCACTTTCATTTGTTAGAAACAAACAAAAAAGTCCAGAATGGCTACAATGCAGTATAGCATCTGGCACCTTTAAGCCTGCTGACTTCAATGGGTTTAGGTGCACCTAAATCTGCGTTGACCAGAATCACAGCCTAAATCAGAAATGCTGATTTCAGTAGTATCCTGTGCCGGGAACATATGTTTTCTATTCTACCTACACAGGTCCTTGTGCATCTGTGCCAATGTCATTTGCTGTGCTGGTGCATCTTGACACTTCTGCCATGTATAAAAGCAGTTATTTATTCCAAAAATTAAAATAGGCATACTTGGGGTTTCTTGGTGTTACTAAAGCTTAAATGGAAAGCTGCTTTGGGATAGAATAGCTGAAGAATAAAAATGTCTTTTGATCACAGGGCTCTCATCTGATGCTACTGTTCTGACACCAAATACAGAGAGCAGTTGTGACTTGATGACCAAAACCAAATCAACCAGTGGAAATGACGACAGTAATTCTTTAGATTTGGAGTGGGAAGATGAAGAAGGTATGTATTCTGAAATTCTTTGCAGCAGTGTGTGCAGAAAACAAAAGTCATGGGAAAGCATGGAATAATCATTAACAATAATCCCTGTTCTTGTCTCAATTTATTAAAATGATTTTAGAACCTCAATTAATAAGATAATTAAAAGTGAAAATGCTTATTAAAGGGAGGGGTGTGAAGTGCATTTGTACAAATACTGTTGGTGGAATTATAATATATGACTGTTAGCTAAATTGCCTTATCTCTTTAATAAGATGGGGGAATTTGAATATTAAATGGCAATGGCTTAAATAAAGCGAGCAATAACCTGTGTATACCAGGGTCCAATTTATCCAGATCCCCAGAAATAGACGCAGAGGCTAGATCTTAAATAGAATGATTTCTTTTACTAATAATTCTCACACACACAGTATAAAATTAAAACAGTCACACACTCAAGCGATACAGCACTAAAAAATTAGATAGAAAAGGTACAGCAACAGTTGCATTAGCAGGACGGTATCATTGACTGGGGGGATTCTTTACCTGTCCGACGCAATCCTGCAGCGAGAATAGGGAAAATACTAAGGAAGGGGTCGTGTGTTGACCATCAGCACACGTGGGAGACTCTAGACAGTGCTAGGACTGGAGTCAGCAAGGTAGGGTGGGGTCAGGTAGGTAAGAAAGAGAGAGAGAACAATGGGCAGATACTCTTCTTATATACCCTAGAAGTGACTTGAGGTGTGTGCTACCAAGTCATGTAGTCCCCAGGAATTCTTGAAAAATCCAGTTACTAATGGTCAGAAGATGACCGGGAGAATAGGATTAATGGTTGGGCAATTGCAAAGACATTCAACTAATGGTGACACCTTTAGAAAGACAAAGGAAAGAAAAGACAAGTAATGTTCCGGCTTCATGGATGGTCATTAGTCGTAATGGCCCAACAATCTGCAGCTGTATTATCAGAATGGGCGGTGGATAGCTGTGCCAGCTGCTTAATCCACTCATGTCGTAAATCCTTTTGTTTTACAATGGAGTTTACATGCAGCATCTGCAAAGGTGAGTGGGGAGGAAAGGTGTCTGCGCACTGGAGAAGGAGGCCTTCTATGGAGTCCTTGCAGGAAGACTCAGGCTTCTTGTGTAAAGCATGGCTTCTTCATAGGGAACGGCTGCTGGCTGCTGCGTGTTTCTGGTGTCAGGGAGATTGATTTGCCTCCTGCGGGGATGCAGGGGTGAAAGGCATCTTCTATGTCCACGGGTCCACGTCTGGCTGGCACACTGCTTCAGGGCAAGGCTTCCCTTGGCTGAGCACGTGTCTACAGTCCGGGACCATCATCGGGCTACCGCACTGTCCAATCCCTGGCACACTTATTATATAGTCCAACATACAGCTATAGTCCATAGCCTTATAGATGTTGCATAAGGCTTTTGCAGGGCAACAGTGACCTTCCAGTTGGTGTGATTCCCACACTTGAAAACAAATTGGATGGTAATGTTATTGTATAAGAAGTGGGCTAGTTCAGACTATTTTAAAGACTGGAGAAGGATGAGCAATAGCTAGTCTATTTGAGCATGATTCTCCATTCCAAATAAAGCCATTTTCCCTGATCTTTTGCATTTATTAAAGGGAAGATGTACATAGAGATGCCTAGATAAAAAAATAAAGAATAGCATCAGCTACTTGCTCACTTTTAATTTGGTAACGGGAGTTTAGCTAAGCAGCATCTTTGTTTGAATGGGGAATCATGTGAGAGGATATGAAATAATTCGCAAAGTCTTAGGTTTGCAAACAAGTGAATGCCCACTTTAAGAATAAAATTTCCAAACATGTAGTACCACCATTTGACAAGATGGAGAAATATCTATAAATAATGGAATCAGTTCCCTATCTGCTTGCCATTTCTTTGGAAACAAATTGTAAATGTAGCATATCAGTAAGCTGGAGGGGGGGGAGTATTAATTCATGATGCAACAGTTCAAAAACAAATCTGAGAGAACCAAAATATGATTTTTTTTAAAAAAAATCTTGCATTACAGGTATGAACAGAATGATTCCATTGCGGGAGCGTTCAAAAACTGAAGAGGATATACTCCGAGCAGCACTAAAATTTAGTGGCAAGAAAACTGGTAGTAACCCAACTTCTGCTTCTGATGACTCTAATGGTTTGGAATGGGAGAATGACTTTGTTAGTGCAGAAATGGATGATAATGGCAACTCTGAGTATGCTGGATTTGTAAACCCCGTCTTAGAACTGTCTGCATCTGACAAAAAGACATCTGATGCCGAACAGCAAGACAGATAATGAAATTATGTGGTTGAAGTCGGACAAAAATCTCTAGTTCTGTATGTGTGTAGGTCATTGCTGCTGCACAACTTCCTTTAAAATACGGAAGTTGCACATTGACAATACTTGATGAACTTAAACATAGATTTTTTTTTCTAGAATGTGAAAGAAACCATGTGATAATGTCCATCATTTATAAAATAAGAGTATGGTTTGCCATCTGAATTCAGAATTTTAAGTGCAATTTTATCATCAACCTTTGAAACTTACGTTAAAAATCTGTTATGTCTGTCCTTGAATTTTAGTATACAATGATCTGCACTAATTGAAGCATCACAGCTGGATACATTTTAGGGCTGTATTTCTGATTCATTTCACTATTAACATTGGAGTAATACCTTCAATTTAATAATACTTGAATGTGTAAAGTAGAGAGCAACTTTATAATGTAATTTTATTCTGTTGTTAAAATCAGTAGGGAAACTATACATGAAAAACTGACATACCCTTTCTATTTATGTCTTTACTTAAACAAAAAGTTACAGCACAATGCATCTCACATTTAAGTGTATTAAAAGCATAATAAAAGACAGCATAGTGACAAACTATGAATAGAAGTATGTTAAAACATTTTGAATGTTTATTTAAATAACTGGAAGTACAATATATGCTTTTGAAGAAAAAATGTTAGAGAACCAAAGGTTCCATTTCCACCCAACTATGAAATGCCAAATGCTGTTAGAACAAAGATGTTAGTTGTTTATGTGTTTAAGAGATACAAAGGTAATTTTGTTCCACACACTCTAAGTTTATTGAGCTGATATTAATAACTGAAACTCAGAACATCTAGTATGTTTTATATGTGGAAGGCATATATTTCTGGAGTTGTATTAATGCAAAATGGTATTCCAGTCCAAAGGTTTATTTTCTGGATGTGTGAAAAGATCTGTTTCTGTATCTTATAGCTAATTTAGGATTTGCTACAGAAGTGTAATTTAATCAGGTTTAATTTGTGCTAATTTTGGGAGGAAAGGAAGGATATCTTCTTTCTCAGAGAGTCTTAAAAATTAATTCTCAAAAGACGCTCCTCAGAGTCAACTTATTTCTTCTAGCATTTTTGAGGCTGTTGCAAAGTGTTAGTATCTTCCTATGAAATTGCTTTTTGGTTCTTGTTTTTTGCTGGTAACCAAGCTGCTTTGGAATGGTGCTTTCTTTTCAGTAATGCCGCTACATCTGGGTATGTGTCTGTGACTCGGACTTTTGATAAGTACTAAACCTCAATGTTACAGAGGGCAGTAGATCAGGGAGAATGCTTGCTTGTAGTGATTACTCACTGTTTGAGCTGCTGGGCTGCAGGCTTTCCTTCTCTGCCTCTTGTACAGTCCTCTGTTCCCCTTTTGGGGTATTGGAAAGGAGAAGTTTTTTCCCCAAGGTACATAAAGTTGAAACTGTGCAGGACCATAGTTCATGTTAGCAACTGCTGTTAGTGATGAAGAGGAGCAGTGGCAGCTTAGAATGCGAACAAGGCTTTAGAAGCAGAGCTTTAAAAGCAGCTGTGTCTTCTGACTAAGCTCCTCTACCAGTGCTGGCATTCTTTAGCCCTGTGCAGACAACCTGCCCATGTTATCATTCAACACAGAGAGAGATAGAGTGGGCACATGTGTGCTGACCCTGGCTGCACCCAATCCCTGAGTAGTCTGCACAGGGCAAACATGCAGAGGGAGTACCTCTGTGCACATGCTCTTACCATGATCAGCAACATTCCAAAAGTAGCATTGCTGATCACAGGGAGGGGGCATATTCAGGCCGACATGGTTGTACCCATTGTACCTCCCCATGCAGTGAGTGAACATGCAGATAGGTCATTCACATAGAGATTTTGTTCTGGCCAGTGGCAGCACTTTCATTTTTAAGTTCCATCTCTCAGACTCAACACCACCCATCATTAACAAGCTGTACTGTGACAGTTGTCTTGCCTCTGTCTCATAGTTTTTATTTTCTTGCTCTCATAATTTAAAACCTTGATTAAAAGTTCATTCCAGTTTCATAATGTTTACCTTTTATACACATTAGTCACTGCCACAGTAATAAATTATGGATGTAACATGGCTAGTGGCATTAAAGAATTATGGACTGTGTATCTGTCTTAACCCATGTAATATACCAGATCATAGTACACTGATTTTCCCCGTGCCTTTTGCTTTTAAAAAAACAGCTCTTGACCATATGTATATTTGACACGTTAAACAGCATAACCTTTCTTAATGTATTGCATTTCTTAAACTGAAGCTTTATTGCTAAAAATATTTACATGTGAAGCTCTACACTTGCAATGCCTGTAACATGCTTTATAAGAGATTTGTACACTTAAAATGTATATTTTTGGTTTGACATAAGCTACTGTGTGTCAACTTTTTCATGTTATCAGTCCTTAAAGGTTAAATTTCTCAAACTGTTAATAAATTTTATACACACTTCATAACTAATCTTATTACTGCTTATGAAGTACCCATTCGTACTTTTTATAGCTGTGTAGAATGTGAACTTTCTCATAATGCTTGATTCTAAAGTTCCTTTTATTGGATGGGCTATTCTTAGTGAGCTTGATAGAGATAAGGGATAAAGAGGAGCTCTTCTTGGATGGAAATAAATCCAGACTGCTAGTGCTCAATGTCCCAACAATTTTAAAAGCTGTTCTGGTGGGTCTGGGTAATATAGATGGGAAGGGCTAGAACTTAACAGTGTATCAGAAAATATCCAAATCTAGATATGTGCACACAGAGAATATTCGAAGGAAACAAAATTTAGCAAAACAGATGATGCAAATACTAGCAGCCTGTTAGTGAAGATAGCTTGGCATTCTTAGTGCTAAAGAGGGCATGGGCATATAGGGGGCAGTTCAGAAACCTGGTGGTATGGGGGAGATCACTAGGCTGCAGTTATCCCTGGATATAAGCTACATGGGAAAGACATAATGGGTGGAGAGGTTCTATGTGTCAATGTAGAGTTCAATGTAAGAGCAACTGTTGTAGATCTTGGGTCCAGCATGTAACTTGGGCCTCAGTCCTATGCAAACTTACATGGGAATAAGTCCCATTGAACAAAATGGCACTTACTTCTGAGTAAGTATGCATAGGATTGCCCTGTTGATACTGAGCGTATAGCTGAAAAAAATCAGAATGCTTTTGAAATGGAGAAAGAAAGAAAGAAGGCAACCAGAGGAGAAAATTGTAAAATATTTACTTCTAGTATCCTGATGTTCTCTGTGTGAAAGAACATTTCTACCTACTGTAATGACTGTACCTTGGTCAGCTGCTTATGGAACCCACTTGAAGGGAAATGACCTGGTCCTTAGTGGGGTTCAAGACCTGGTGCAAGGCATGTAGTATTCTACCAACTGGAAGCAGTGCTATTAATTGAGGCACTTAGGTGAAAGGAAAGTTGCCTAGAAATTCCAACATAGTTCTCAAAAATTATTCAAAAGGGAGGGTGAAGAGGGTCAAAATCATTCACAAGCTTGAAGCTATGAGAACACTGCTAAGAATGTCAAGCTATAACAATAAAAGATTTTATATACATCAGAAACAGCATACATGCCAAAGAGGCAAGTGTCCTCATAGAACAGGAAAACGAATGAAAGGCTTGCTAAAGAAAGATGGCAGCTAAAGAGAAACAAGAAAATGAGGCAGTTACCCAAGTTGGAGTTGTCACTTTCGCCTAGGATGTTGGGAAAAGTGAGCCAAAGATGTAGGCTCCAGGACAAATTAAAAAAAAAAAAGCACCAAGTCTGAGTAGCATGCTTCCAGGCACTCATGCAAAACAAGCTCCTAATGAAAATATGCAACTGGTTAATAAAACCCATATCCCTTCCCAGGGCTGGCTCGAGGTGCTTCTGCGTCCTAAGCAGGCGCAGTTGCCAACCTGCCGGTAGGGCCTAGAGACCCTTTTGCTGCTGCCGCCTCCTCCCCCCAGGGGGAGGGCGGGTGAGCTGCGGCGCCGGTCTGGCACGGAGGGGCGGCCCCGCAGAGCCTGGAGCGCAGACGAGAGAGCCGGAGGAAGGGAGCGAGAGATGAGCCGGCAGCAGCAGCAGGAGCATACCCGTTGGGGCGGGCGGAGACGCAGATCCCCAGGGCGTGGGGGGAGATCAGTGGGCTTCCCACGCGGGCCCCGGGCAGCCCGGAGAGAGGCAGGCCGGGGGGGTGGGGGAGCTGCCCCGGACAGCTGGGGCGGGTGGCGCAAACGGCCGGGGTGGCTCCCTCCCTCCCCTCCGCGGGTGCGGGGCTGAAGCAGCTACGGTGGGGTCAGGCGGCGGCAGGCTGACAGCCCCGGGGCAGGAGGAGTAAGGAGGTCTCTTGGTGGGCGCCTTTGCTTCTAGCTTCAAGCTGCTGCGGAGCGTCGGGGAGACACGCAGTCCACAGCCGGGGTCTTCTGCTGGCGGGCCTGGCCTCCGGGGCGCCCTCAGGAGCCCCCCCCGCCTTCCTCCCCTCCCCCGCCGCAGAGAGAGCGAGCATGCGTGAGAGGGGCGGGCGCCCGGTTAGGGCGGCGAGGGGGTTGAAGGGGCGGGGCGCAGCTTGGTGCCCGAGGGCCAGCGCGCCCTAGGCGAGCGCCTAGTTCGCCTAGTGGGCGAGCCGGCCCTGCCCCTTCCAGAGGGCTGGAAGGTAGTGAATGTAACACTGATTTTACAAAGGGATCCAGAGGAGATCCAGGAAATTACAGGCCACTTAGCCTAAACTCTGCGCCAGGTAAATTGGTGGAAACTATTTTTAAAAGGAGAATGAAGCACATAGGGGAGCAAGCCCTAATGAGGAAGCATCAGTGCGGTTTACATAAAGGAAAATCCTTTCTCACCAATATTTTTTAATTCTATAAATTCTGCATCTGATGGACATTATATAATTGGGCTTCCAGAAAGCTTTTTACATAGTCTAGTAGCAAAGGGTCCCTGAGTAAAATTGAGTTATTGGACCAGTGGTCCTGTCATGAATGAGAAACTTGTTAAATGACAAGAAGCAAAATGTAGGCACACATGATGGCCACTGTAGTAAGAATGGGAATATAAAGATTTTCATATATAGGTTTTTCCTTCTTGATTGTTCATATTCATATTTCTCTGGTTTTTATAGATTTATTCATTAAGTAATATTTTATTAGGATGTTAGAAAGTCCTGTTATATAGAAGGCTTTCCTCTTGTAGGTCTGATATTGCTAGCAAGCAACATAATAGGTACAAAGTTCATGATTCTGTAGTTCTTAGGGCAAACCTTTCAATGTCTGGGTCAGATAAGATTTTAGTCTCGTATCAGTAATGAATACTTTTGTTTGGGGAAGAACAAGCTTTAGCCGATATGCCTTAGGTCATGTCAAGTAAATATGTGATGCTATTGCATAGGCACACCTTTCTTACATTTGACCAATAATGTATTAACAATACATTAGTGGAACAATTATGCCTTAGGTCATGTCAAGTAAATATGTGACGCTATTGCATAGGCACACCTTTCTTACATTTGACCAATAAGGAGATTTTCATATAAATGTTGTTATGTTTTTGTAACCAATTATGCCTTTTGAATATTATTCCCATGATGATGGTATGATGATGTCATTTTAAGTATTTAACTTTATGTATTTCCTGAATCTGTTCAGAATATGCTCAAGAAGATGAAGACGAAAAAGAAGAAAGTTGTCAATTTTTGGTTAACTATTTGGTCTAATTGTTTTCCTATTAATTGAGGCATGTTTCCTGATTATGCTGAAAAGAAAGCAATCAATTTTGAGGGGTCCTTTGGCCTGTTTTCCATATTTCATTACAATAAAATACAAGAACTTCCTCCTCATTTGACTTCATTTTTGACATGGAATCTAATGTCTACAACACCACTGTGGGATACAGAGTGTTGGACTGGATGGGCCTTTGGCCTGATCCAACATTGGCATCTCTTATGTTCTTATGATAGTTCTCACAACAGAATGAAGCAGGCACAGTAGTTCCACAGGGATCAGTATTGAGACTGCTTCTATTAATAAATGAACTGGAATTTCGGTGAACTGTAGTGTCCACATTTATGGATAATATCAACTCACTCAGGATGAAGTGAACTAGAGTGGATTGTAAGAAACTTAAGAAGAATCTCCAAACCAGATGTGGTTAGATTCATTGTCCAAAGTGATATCCATTGGGGTGAAAAATCCCAACCAAATAGGTGCTGAGAGGATATTGACTAGGAAAGATGTTTTGGGGTTCTCATGAAAAACTGAAAAAAGTGTTATTAATAAGGCCAATTCTGTAGTAGGAATTGTTGAGATAGGGATGGGAAACAAAATGGCTTGTGGCATATTACCCTTGTCTGAATCTATGCTGTGGCCACATTTGGAATATTGTGTGCTGTTCTGGTCTCTATCTCAAGGATATTGTTCAACTGGTGAAGGTGCAGAAAATGGCAAACAAAATCATTAAGGAATTGCAGCATCTGCCCTATGAGGAAATGCTAAGTACTTTGCAAGGAGGGGCCAATTTATAGAAAAGTTGATCCAGATGGCACATTTATAAATTATACACTGGATGGCAGAAAAGGACACAATTCTCCCGCAATAAAATAGTACATAGGTACCCAATAAAATTGGATGACTAGCTTCAAGGCAGAAAAAGGGAGCACTTTTCCACCCAAAGAGTCACTAACTTCCAGAATTTGCTCCAGTGGAATGTCATAATGACCACTGTGAAATATGTTTGTTTTTTAATCCAACTGCTATCACCAAAATGTAAAGGATGGGAGGGATTTTCCCAATGCTCAAAAACATGAGCCACTTCCACCCCCAACAAATTAACAGAACACTTGTTCTTTTTTTATTTATATTAACCCCACTTGTTTACCTATCCTGGATATTCTGCTACCACCATTTACCATTAATGACAAAGTGTGTGTAGCCTTGTAACATCATTATATCTGCCATCACCGTTCTGGTCTGTTCTTCCACTTAAACAAGCATTTGCTTTGCTGTCAGATATTCCCTTGTGATCTACTGGATAAGGGCAAAAAAACTGTATTGGTGATATTAGCGTAATCCAAGCCTTTGCATTCTAAATTCTTGAAAATGCTTAGTATAAAGCGCCCATATGTAAAGATTTATGTTTATTAGGTAAGCTCTATTTCTCCCCAAAGGCTAATCTTTATTTTCTTACATACCTGCATAAATCTCATTTCATCCATAGAGACAATCTCTCTCTCAAGTGATCTGCTGCCACAGTTGCTTACCCAATTAAAAAAATGTTTAAAAATATCCAAATAGTAAATACATATTTTTTTAAAAAAAAACCTCAGGAAAAATACATAGGAGAGCATTAATACCAATATGAATTTATTTATAGACACAGTGTGAAATTATTTATTTATCAACAATTTTTCCTTCAAGGTTGGGAGGGAGTCTGTATGTGGGTTCCAGCATGTTAAAACTGTAGATATTATATATGTTCACCAAATAATAAAAGCATGTTTGAATAGCCTTGCAGGTTCTGGTTTAATAAAAGCCTTCCTGATTTAAAAATAAAAACGAGATCAGGGCCAGCTTTACCATTACGGCAGACACCTAAGGATTTAATAGCGCCCCCTACCCTCCATAAGGGGCTGCAGTGGTTCACTGGTTAAGACGGTGAACTGCAGACCGGAAGGTCAATAGTTCAGCAGTTCGAGACCTGAGTGCATGACGGAGTGAGCTCCTGTCTCTGGTCCCAGTTCCTGCCAACCTAGCAGTTTGAAAGCAAGAAATTGCAAGTAGATAAATAGGTACCACTTCGGTGGGAAGGAAACAGCATTCCGTGTGCCTCGGCGCCTAGTCATGCCGGCCACATGACCACCACACCCTAGAGTCAGATTCGACTGGCTTTTGAGCAAGGGAAACCTTTACCTTTACCACCCTCTATGTTGCCCTTTCTAGAGGAAGGAGAGTAATGTAGATAGCCAACATGATCATAGCTCTGTCCTATTTGCAGGTAGTTGTGCAAAAGGCATGTTACAGAGACCTCAGGTTGGTCCAGTCAGCTTGTACACTGTTGAAAAAGGTGGGTCCCCACTGACCAGTGTTCCCTCTAAGCTGAGTTAGTGTGTGCTAGCTCACAGTTTTTTAGCCTCTGGCTCACACATTTTTGTCTTAGCTCAAGAAGAATGGCTTCATGCAGTAGCCAAATGGCTCAATCACAACTTTAATGCCAATAGCTCACAAAGTAGAATTTTTGCTCACAAATCTCCACAGCTTAGAGGGAGCATTGCTACTGACTACCAAAAAAGTTATGCTGAGGATCATGGGATCTTCATTGCACAAAGGCCATGTGGGATGGGAGCTGTGGGATGGAGAGAAATCAGGCATATTTTTTTTTTAATGGCTGGATCCAACTCATAACTTTTTCAATCTATGCCTTTAAACATCCATTCCCATAAGAAGTGGTCAGCTACAAAGGATAATACTAATTTACGCACAGTGCAAGTATGGATGGAATATGGATGGATTATGACAATTCCTATGGAATACAGGCCAAAAAAGAAGGTGCTGAATATTATAGTACTGAAATTAGCCTGCCTGGCCTTTGTGAGATTTTTCCCATTCATTTTCATCCATCTCTGTTGGAGATGAAATGTCACTTTCAGGTATAGGCTGATGAAAAGATAAGTCTCTGTCCAGCAACAATGAAGCACTGGCCAATTCAAAACGAATTTCAAAGTAATCTTCTGATTGTCCACCTCGTTTTTCCATTAGGATCTCATAATCTCCAAAAGAAACAATGCCGTTCTCTGGCAGGTCAACCTTGTTTAGGTAGGACAGTTCAACGTTGTTCACAGTTAGATTTACCCTTTTGCTCAAATTCTTTATCTCAAAACCAAACTCTGAGCTGTTGAATAATCGGAAGAACTGTAGGGCAAACTGAATGCGAGACACACGTCCATCTTTCAAGTTAAAGTGGCAGACATTACTGTCTCTGCCAAATTTTATCACGTCATCTGCTCTCACTCGCTGGCACTGGCTAAAGTTCAAGTCACGAAATACTTGCTTTTCTTCCTGATTTGGATGATAAAAGGTCATGCAGAGACAAGTGAGAGTTTCTTCTGTTTCTGCATTTTCTAAAGTCGCCATGGTAGTACTAATCCTCTGAAAATTCTGCAAGACAATCAACCACAGTATTATACACTTTTTAAAAAACATACTGGACACATTTACTAGTCTTTGCAAGATCACAAACAGCCTATTAGATAGAGGCAGTGGTCCTTCAGTGCAGCCCTAAACACAGTTGCACCCACTGAAGTCAATGTGCTTAGAAGGATACAACTCTGTTGAGGATTGAACTGTTAAGCTCTGAATTGTCTGCAATAGTTTTCCTTTCAGTTCTCACATTGTCAGTTTCCTGTTTTGGAATTTAGCAACATCAACTGAAAGGGAAATGGTTGTTTGGTACTGGCTTGGTATTGCATCAACAACCATTTCGCTTTGCTTGAAAGGGAAATGGTTGGTGATGCAGTACCAAGCCAGTGACTCATTTAAAAAAATCCTTCCAGCATTTAACAATGAATATGTATTCTGGAGAATTATAAATTGCACACTGTTTCATTATCTCTATTAACCACCTTTTTTGCATAATCCTAAAAACACTTTCCTGGGAATGAGCCCCACTGCATAAAACGGGACTGATTTCTGAGCAGGGCCGTTTAGTATTGCTCCCGTTATCTGTTTGGTTTTAATAACAACTATTTTGCTATAAATGTAGCACTATATATATTTATATGGAAATTGTATTCTAATTTATGAGCTCCCCTTCAGGAAACTGTGCATTTCTGAAACCTGGGATGAAATACTGCCAACAGAAGGGGACGGGGACAAGGTGCAGTAAGTTTCTCATCACATCTACTCAAGCTCATTTCATATAGTTTTGTTGCAACATAACGGCCCTTTAATCATATACCACACTCAATGTCACTGTGGTTAAGCCACAAAGGTTTTCCCTCCCATTCACCATTAAGCTTCAGACCAGACACTACTGCCTGCCAGCCTCCACATAGCAGTGAGCCACGTGGTATGAAGCACTCGCACACCTATAACTGCCCCAGAGATGTAATCTACTTTCATTGGGGGGGGGGGACTGGAAAAGAATGGACCCTCTCAATGCATTCTTATGGATTACTGTAATTGCAGTGATTAAAACAGTTATAAATAATTATCCTAGTATGAAGTTGATGAGTTTGGGCATGATTCTGAGTTACCCCAAGTGCAGGGATACAGATCCGGAAGCACCAGCCTAGCAAGGCCCCTCAACCAGAATTTGCTTCCATTTGCGTGAGAGTATATAGATAATTTATATTACTAGATTTCTCACTACAGAACCCGCACAAGGCAGCTCACAACTAAGCCAATGACACAAAAAAGTTCTAGTAAATAAAAATATGCCAAGCCTATCAACTCGAGCCAGAGTAGGTGCTAGGTGAGCCTTAAGGGGACAGGCATTCCAAAGGCAGATAAGCAATTATTTATACTCTACTTTCCTCCCCAACGGGGACACAAAGTGGCATACAAGCATTCTGTGGGGAGGGGCTATGGTTCAATGGCAGAGCCTCTACTTTGCATGCAGAAGGTCCCGGGTTCAATCCCTGGCATCTCCACTTAAAAGGGTTCAGATGGTGCATAATGTGAAAGAGACCCTGGAGGACAGCTGCTGCCAGTCTGAGTAGACAACACTGGCCTTGATGGACCAAGGGTCTGATTCAGTATCAGGCAGCTTCTCCCTTTCTCCATTTTGTCCTCGCAAGAACCCTGTGAGGCAGATCAGGCTAAGAGTGTGTAGCTAGTTTGGCTTTCAGGGCTTCTCTACACCAGGCAGCACTTAAAATGAATCTCTAGCTTGTACATTTTTCTTCTGCCCTCTGCTATAAAGGACACCCAGCATGTTATTCTACCAGGGCTGCACCACAAACTGCAGACCAAGGAAAACAAAGTTTTCGTCCAGTGGCACTTTTAAGGCCAACAAGGGTTTATTCAAGGTATAAGCTTTCGAGTGCCATAAAACATCTTTTACCTCCTCCCTCCTTTTTGGGTGTTTGTGTGGAATGAGAGTGGTATTCAACATTCTAGGGTTGCCAACTCTGGGTTCAGAAATACCTGGAGATTTGAAGGTGGTGGAGCCTGGGAGAGGGGGGTTTAAGGGAGAGTAGGGGTCTTGGTAGGGTATAATGGCCTATAGCCCACCTTCCAAAGCAGCCATTTTCTCCAGGTGTTTTCAATAAGTCATCCCGGGAGCTCTCCAGCCCTCACCTGGAGGGTGGCAACCCTCATCCAACCTGGTAAAGAGTGACAAGGAACTGGAAACCGTTTTAATTCAATGGGCCCCTTGAAAACCAACAAAGTTTTATTCAAGGTATGAGCTTACGCGTACACGCACCCTTCCTCAGATCTGAGAAAGGGAGCGTGCACACGAAGCCTCATGCCTTGCGCCACCGAATTCAGTGTTCCACGGCTTCGGAGCAGCACGGCTGCCCACAGGAAACTGGAAAGCTTACTCTTGGGCTGCTCCGGTGCCCTTGTTCGGAGGAGTTTGCTACAGACAAAAAGGACAAGCCGCAATCTCAGGAGCGGTCGCTGACTCACAGTTGTGCAACCGCGGCCGGGCGCGGAAGACTTTCATTTTCCCTTCTGGCGTTTCCCGAGGGCGCCGCGGTCTCCCTTACGGCTCGCCCAGCCAGCGGGGCTTGCGGAGCCCACCGCTCCTGCCCGAAGACTCTCGCCGAACGCGGTCTTCGCCCGGTGAGTACCGGATCTCCCGCGGGCGGCTTTGGGGGTATGTTGGGCAGGACCCTGGTCCCTGGGCCGGTCCGAACGTCGCGGATCTGCGCAAAGCCAGATCCGCCTGCCGTTCCTGCATTCGTAGCTCCTTATCTCCTTTTGAAAAGGAGATAAGTTTAAAAAAAACCGCTGGGCTTTCTGCCGGGCCTTACCTGTGCACACTGACTGGTCTGCGAAGGCACCCAAAGAGATCCCAGCAGGATCTGCGAGAAAAGGCCCCGCTGAAGTGCAGAGGCTGTTCAGACGGCCACAGCGGTGGCTTTCGAGCGCTCAAGCAGAAGCGCCGCAGTGAACTGCTCAAGAGGCGCCCCTTCCTTTCTTTCTCCCCGCCCCCAAGGGAGGGGGAAGCGGAGGGGAGGGGAGACGGGGAATCCCCTTGCAGCTCCGTGTTTCTCCCCACCCTTGAGAAGGGGGGGGGGGAGGTCCTTGAGCCAGTTTTGTAAACAGAGTCTTGGGCGTGGGACTCAGGAGATGAAATTTAGGGGGGACAGACCACATTTGGCCACAGTCATACTGTGCTGCCCAATGTTAACTGTAGTTTAGTAAAACTGCTGTGTAGCTTTAAGAGAAGTTGCCCCTGGGAATTGTAGTTCTCAGGGGTCCCAGAAGCTTCCCTCTGACTGGCTCATTAAGAGTAATTTCCTGAGCTCATAGAAGCTAAGATATGAATTTTATTGTTCTTTTCCATTTCTTTGTTTATTCCTTACTGCAAGGAGAAGGGGAAACTCATCTCTTTCTCACCAGGGCGAATGAATTGCCCTGAATCACAAAGATGTAACTTTCTACTGAGCCATCCACAACAGATAGTGAGTAATGATCTGTTGAATGCATGTGAATGTGATTTTCTCTTCAGTGGCTGTGCGTTTGCTCACACCTAGAAAAGTGCTAAACTTGGCCAAAAGCTAGCACCGGACAGCTGCTAAAGTTTTCCCATACTAATAATACTGAGTGTAGCTGAGTGGCTACTAAATGTAGCTGCCACACACACCCCTTTACCTGTTAACATTTGTGGGTATTCATGATCATTGTTTCTCTGAACACTTCGTTGCTACAGAAAGATCACAAAGATAATGTCAGGAAAGTTTGGGACAAGAGAGGCCCCAGGTTAAACTCCTGATGGGAAAAAGAATTAAGCTTTTGGTTTGGCTGATCTTGTTTTCGAAACACACTTTCCTTGAAATGAGTCACAATAATAGCCACAGAGGCCGTTTTGGCTGAGATGAATATAAAGACTGCTGCCTGTAGAAAAATTATTTCAAAGCAATGTGCAGGTTGTCTACCTGGTTTGTCTTTTCCATTTTTTGCACACATGCCGTGCAAGTTTAGTGACTTTGTTGAGACTATTTGGCAGGATTGATTCCTTGTCTGTTGCTGCCAAGTTCTGCATATGTAGGTACCCAAGGGATTGAGCCAATGGGGAGGTACCCAAGGATTGAGCATATGTAGGTACCCAAGGATTGAGCCAATGGGGAGCCAATGTGGCTGGCTCATGGCAGGCTGACCGGTTGCCCTAGGACTGGCTGCCTGTTTCTCAGGTGTCATCTGTCTTGTTCCCTGGCATCTCTAGCAGGTCTAAAGAGACAAACAAATCAATCTGTAAACTGAAATCAGAAGTGGGAAAACGGAGGCATTATCTCACTCAAAAAGGCTTTGTTTCTTGAGAATGAAGACAGGGAGATAACAAGGAAAGGGCAGGGGGGGGAGGGTGTCCCTTTGGAGATGGAACTGGGCTAACCAGAGCAGGACATGCATTTGGATGGAATGTTGTGGCGGCCAAATTTGGGTGGCAAATACTTTAGGGGATTTTTATTTGTAACAGCAGCCAGATGCCTTGGGAAGTTGGGAGACTAATAAACAGGGTGGGGCAGGGATGGTTTCCTCTGTTGTTTGTCCCTCAACTGGTATTCAGAGGCATACTGCTGTGACATGGAAGGTTCCAGTTCCGTTCCAATCCGAGTACTAACTAGAACCAACACTGCTTCGCTTCCAAGATCAGATTGGGTGTGTTCAGGGTGGTATGGCTGTAGGCAAAGGTTCCAGTTCACTTTTTGTGCGTAGTAGTCATTCAATAACCTGTTCTCCATTAATCTTTCTAATCTTTTTAAAGCCATGATTGGAAATTAATATATCAAGTAATTCCAGGAGTTAACTTTGATGCTGTGTGTGTACAGCATTGCATGGTGAAGGTGCCAGGCTTTGTTTTCCCTGTGGTGTCCACAAGTGTGAGGAGTCTGGGAAGGGAAGAGGGCTGATTCAGAGTATGATGTGGTATGACCCTGCAGAAAATGCTGTCAAGAAAGCTTGAAGTGCGTGGCTATATTAGTAATCGAATCCAGTAGCCCCTTAACGATTTTCCAGGGTATCTAAAGTGAGCTTTAACTCCCCTTAGTATTGCCAGCCTCCAGGCAGCACCTGGAGATCTCCAAGATCAGTTCTCCTGGAGAAAATGGCTGCTTTGGGCAATGGACTCTATGGAATTATACCCTGCTGAGGTCCCTCCACACCCCAGGCTCTACCCCTCAAATCTACAGGTCTGGCCCTCCCCTTAGTATTGCCAGTCTCCAGGCAGCACACGGAGATCTCCAAGATCAGATCTCCTGGGGAAAATGGCTGCTTTGGGCAATGGACTCTATGGAATTATACCCTGCTGAGGTCCCTTGGCGCCCCAAACCCTGCCCTCCCCAGGCTCTACCCCTCAAATCTACAGGTATTTCCCAATACACAAACAATAATGCACATGCGCAAACTTTGGTGAGACAAAAAAAAATCCTATTTGCCACGGAAGCAGCGCGGCGCGATTGCCGGTGTGATCGCGCTGTGCTGCTTCTTTGCTGCGCTGCAGACTAGCCGTGTGATCGGCACCTAACAGCCTTGTACAGGTCTTTGCCCACCCAAGCCAGTCCAGGAATGGGAGGGAATCCTGTACTTTTCAGTACATTAAACAACAAACCACGAGATGGTCTATACCCCCTCAGGTTTTCAGAACAACGTGCCACCAGAACCTCTTTTCTCTAGTCCCTACCTTTCCTAAGGGAGAGATTCCAAAACCTTAGTTGGCATCTGGGACAAAACACATTAGCAACTCAATATAGAGATGCACACTCTTACCAAGGTAGCATTCAGGAACAACATCAGAAACCATTTAACAATCAGAAGGATCTTTATTCAGTCCAGAGATTAGCATAGACTACCAGAGATCACCGGCGTAAAGTTTGTGAAGGCTGTGGGGTGCCAGCCCCCCGAAATTTCCCAGAAGCCCTGCCCACCCCTCGCCCTCCCAAGCTGGCGACCAGCCACAGGGCATTGCCGCTCGGACTCCCCCAGCTCTCCTCAGGGGCTCTTTTAAAAGTTGTGGCCGCGGAGGCTGTTCTCGTCCGCAGCTGCATGCCCATGGGGCGGGGGGCAGGGTGAAACGTTCCGTTGCCTCCCTGAGCTCCGGGGTGGTGGCCTTGGACTCTCGCGCAAGAGGTCATTCTGGCTCTCCCAGCTCTGCTTAGGGGCTCTTTTCAGGGTCAGCTGCAAACACCGCAGGGGGGCCTGCTAAGCTGCCCTCCCTGCCTTTTTCAGGCTCCGCGCGGCAGCCCCGCACCTGAAAAACGGCCTGCAGAGCCGGCCCCACCCTCCCCTCCTTTCAATTTCAGCCCCATTGTATCCTATGGGCCATTGAACTCAATGGCGAAAACATAGGGTATATTCTGGGAGCTGGAGGGGAGGGGGTTTGAGGGAGAGGCTCCAAACTCGCAGGGTAGCTGCTGGAGCCTCTCCCCAAGATACCAACCAAGTTTGAAGAACATTGGACCAGGGGTCCAAGTCTACGGGCCCCCAAACAGGTTGCCCCTATCCCCTCCATTGTTTTCTATGGTAGGAAAAAAGTAATGTTTTTCCCCACCATAGAGAACAATGGAGGGGATAGGGGCAACCTGTTTGGGGGCCCGTATAATTGGACCCCCTGGTTCAATGTTCCTGAAACATGGCGGGTATCTTGAGGTGAGGCTCCAGCAGTTACCTTGCGATTTTGGAGCCTCTCCCTCAAACCCCTCCCCTCCAGCCCCCAGAATATACCCTATGTTTTCGCCATTGACTTCAATGGCCCATAGGATAAAATAATATGGAAAACTATAGGGGAGGGGAGCAATTTTTGTCTCCCCCCCCCACCTTCTAAGCCCCTTCTTATTAGAAAGTCTGAAACAAGCCCATGATCCATTTCACTTACATATGCTTACAATCCTTTTTCCTTCCCCTCCCCACAACAGTCACCTTGTGGGGTAGGTGGGGCTGAGAGAGTTCTGAAAGAACTGTGACTGGCCTAAGGTCACCCAGGAGGCTTCACGTGGAGATGTGGGAAATCAAAAACAGTTCTCCAGATTAGACTACACCATGCTGGCTTTTTGCCATTTTGAAAATCTTGTTCTTTTTCTTTCATGGCTCATGACATTAAACATATAGGATGATATCTTGGCGGCTACAAGAATGGATGGCTTCAAGAGGGAATTGGATAAACATATGAGCAGAGATCCATCAGTGGCTATTAGCCACAAGGTATAGATAGGAATTCTCGGTCTGGGGCAAGTAATGCTCTGTCTTCTTGGTGCTTGGGGGGGGCAACATTGGGAGGGCTTCTACTGTCCTGGCCTCACTGGTGGACCTCCTGATGGCACCTGGTATTTTGGTCACTGTGTGTCAGAGTGTTGGAGTGGATGGGCCATTGGCCTGATCCAGCATTGGCTTCTCTTATGTTCTTATGGGTGGGGTGCACTACATTTGAGCTGGGTTTAGAGAAATTATGCTTGGGCCTAGGATTGTGTCCTTAGTTTCTTATGAGTACTGTTGACAGGATTGCACCCAAACAAAGAGAGTGAGTCTAAATGTGTCTACTCTAGTGAAATCCAGTCAATGGGAAAATGTTCCCAGGAAAATATTTTTAGGATAGCAGTGTAAATAAGACAAGCCCTGCTGCAAGGTCTGCATGAAATTCTAAAATACTTAACTTCACAGTTCTAGACCTCTGCATTTGGAGATCATTCCTGAATGCTGCGAAAGGGTACTATTTGTGGGAAAGGAATGGGAAATGAGGCAAACAAATTTTGGTTTCCGCCCCTCCCCCTGTGTTATAGTTTATAATACATAGTTGTTACGGTTCTTTTATTCCTCAGTTTTACTGTTTCTTTGAATGACTGGCACAAAGGGTGGATAGAAATCAATGATTTTTTTAAAAAAATCAGATTTTTAATTTAAATCAGGTTTTTTAATTTAAATCA